GGTATGGCGGACCCTTATGAATTTTTTTACAAAGAAATGACTATAACTAGAACTGGAGGAAAAAGTCTAAAAATCTCGGTCCACCACACGATCGTATGTAGTTCCTTCTCGATGAAACCATATATACACTTAGGTTAGGTTAGAACAAAACACGTGTTTTAGATACGCCCATGTTCGGTTACATCGGGAACGTATTTCATACGAATGTGGTAAAACGCATACGATGTGCGGGCGCCAACCTTTAGTATTTATAAACGATTGAAGTCTGCATGCATAGTAGCATATTTATATATTACAGTAATCCTGTCAAAATAAAAAAATGCTATACCGAAATGAGTGAAACATAAAGTTGAACATATTATTTTCAAGAAAAATATTTTTTTTTTTTATAAGAATCAATATTGGTCATCTTCAATGGTTTTCTGGAAATCTAAAAAAAATATTTATGTATAAAATTTTCTTGTCATGGGTGATAAATATTCAGGACGCAGTCTTTAAAGAAAAAAAAAAAAATTATTTATGTTTAAACGTTTCAACCCAAACATGTGGGTCATCTTCAGGGCTGAAAATTTTTAAAATACAATCAGAGATATAATATTGTACGACCGATAATGGTAAATAATAAACTATAGTGATTGATGGTACATGAGTCTTAACTAATATTACAATACACATATTAAAAATTAAATATGTAAATAGTTATACAAACTAAAAATTAAAAAAATTATGTATATAATCCATTTATACAAATTTGTAATATTTTCTCTTACTAACCCTGGTTTCTCCTCTCCTGATCTTTTCACTTACCTACCAAGTGTGTCAGTACTTGAACACCCTCAGTGCTCAAACCTCGGTTAATAAGAGAAAATATTACAAATTTGTATAAATGGATTATATACATTATTTTTTATTTTTAGTTTCTATAACTATTTCCATATTTCATTTTCAATACCTGTATTGTAATATTAGTTAAGATTCATGTACCATCAATCTCTATAGTTTATTATTTACCATTATCGGTTTTACAATATTATACCTCTGATTATATTTTTTAAAAATTCAGACCTGAAGATGACCTACATGTTTGGGCAACACTAGTCACAATACTCCTTATTATAGAAATATTGCATTTTTAACTAAAATAAAAATTTTAGGCAGACTCTCCACACTAAAATTTAATGTATTTATATCCATATATGGAATTCGGGAGCACATATACCACGCCGTTTGAATATTAGAACTCGTCAGCATTAAATTTTCGATTGCTATTTTTCATAATTTTGATAACCATTTATTTAAATTGTCTTCTCTATTTCTTAATGATTTTGTTCTTTTTTCTCCCCTTTGTTCTTAAAAAAAACAAGAATTCTGTAGCCTTCTCTGAAGAATTATAATCTGGTATACTTTGGCGTTTCGAGCTTTTCGTTTTGGCGGTAAGATATTGTAGATAACTAAAACTAACAATATTTTAGATATATAGCATACACTTTCACATACATTAAAGAAGATTCAGTATCTTGAATTCTTAAATGTTCATGTAGGCTTCCGATAAATTTTATCGGAGAATCACCACAATCGCTATCAATTAATATAAGGTTTATAGGAAAATTAAACTAATAAAATATATTTCTAAAATGTGAATTCGTCCCTCATTACCCGACTTAGCGATGCGACGATCCTCTATGTAACGCTTTTTAAGTTAATCTATTCGATGAGATCCTCTGAATGTTTTGAAACAATTTGAGCTAAAGATACTGACCCGTTATTAAATAAAAGGCGTTTAATCAATTTGCAAGAAGCTTTGTAACGATTTGGTAAGCGAACGGCTTGATCTATTTATAAGTTTGATGGCTCAAATTATTTGCCGTATATTGTACATAAATATAAATACGATCTACTATCTCGAAATTCCCGGCAAATGCATTGTTTTAATTTTGTTTTTAAATGGTAAAAGTTTTTAAATTATATTTTCATAAGTGCAGGCAATAAACAGTCGGTGAACTTTCGACTGTTGGCAAATTACCCCCAATAAATCTCACTGGACAGAAATGACCCGGCGCCCTGACAGCATAATCCTGTGAAATTTTTGAAAAAGGTCAACCAAGTTTCAGATTAGTTCAACTGAAAAGAACCCTCCTTCCTATACCTGCCTATGTCTCTCCTGTTTAACAATAAATACTTTTATTATCTTATAGATATTTTTGTTTAACATTAAACAGTTGTTTTTATCAATAAAAAACAATAGTTTCTGTTAATAACTAGGTGTTGTAATTCATACCCCTCCCCCTTCCAACATTAACAAAATTAAATATCAACAAATAAAAATATTAAACAAATTTAAAGGGAGCCATTTCAATGTTAAAGGTCGAAATTGTCAATCTGGTGAATTGTTATTCTAATAATAAATAAATTTGTATTAATTTATAAAAAAATATTAAATAGATCAAATTTAAGATCATAACTGGACAAAATTTTATTTAGTTTCTTTAAATTGCTCCAAAAGTGGTTAAAGATAGTAGTATCAAATCACCCCTTTCAGGATAACATTTTTATTTTTTTTATTCCAACAAAGGTACCCCCGAAATTTATTTTACCCGAAAGGGATGCTGCTCCAAAAATAAAAATTGATTCGCCGCTACCTTAAGACAATTATTTAATAAATGACCTTCCCGATTTAATACTGTATGTATTTTATTAATTTATTTTTTAGTTGATTTTATATGAAGTGGTCAGTTGGAAAATGGTCAAAGTTAATTTTTCTAACTTGAAATTTTTTTTTAAATGTGCTTAAGTGATTTATGTATATTATGAACTTATCATTTAAATATTTAACATGTACTTCAATATTATATGCATTATTTACTTATAATATAATTTTTAATCATATTTATTTATTTTTTTTATTAAATCTAACTTTAATTACACTATCATTCTATCTCAAATGTTGACTCGTGAAATTATAGTGCCTTAATTCTTAATTTCTAAACTAAAAACTATTGTTGTATTTGCAAATAAATACGTACTTTGATGTTTTTATTTTTTAATCTAGGTTGTGTTTTAATCTAGAATTTGTTGCAAAATCTTCTTAGATTTTTTTTCATTGAAATTATTGAAAACTTGTCAGTTCTTTTTGAGAAGGATTTAGATGTTTGTTTTGTAAATTTTAGTGCATCGTGTTAAGTAAAATAATTTAATTCTTAAGAACATGAGATTGACAGGAATGACAGATTGAAGGGCCAACAGGTAGCCGATCAAGGCCGTATGTAAGAAGGGCCAACGTTCCCTCGCGACGGTCCCTAAGGCGAAAAATGAAAACACTCGAGCGCGAAAAGTTTCTGCGGGAACGGATGCGGATGCCATCTGCCGAGGGGAATAACCAACTACATTAGTTCTTTCTGCCCGTCCTAGAGTGCATCCCCGTTAGGGAAACAGACACAGGGCGCATGTTCCTAATTCATTCTTTTCAATTGAAACGGGTCGATAAATACTAACCAAATCAAAACTGATTCTTAATTTGCTAAGCAAGGCAGCTCTTTGGCCACTGCGCCTTCCGGGTCGAGGCAGGTAGAGGTACTCGGAGGAAGGCGTAACTCATCCCCACCATAACTATACCTGAGGAGCTCAACCAAGAGTGCTCCCTAGTTCAGTTGTTGACTTGTCTTCAGTAGTGAATGACTCTTCTCCTTTATCACTATTGACGTGCGACGACCTGACCCTACTTAAACCCCGCCTACCATCGATTTCAATCCTCTTGTTATCGCTCGCTCTCCTGGGTGTCTTCTCGCCCATGAGGATACCCCGCACATTCGATCGCACCCGACTATCGACGGCCTTCGTGACGTCACCGATGAAATATCTTTTGTTTCCTACAACCCCCCTGTTGCATCCTGGGTAAAATTACGATTCATCCTGTATCATAAAATCGTTTCGGCCGAGATCTCCGACTGCAGCTCCTTCCGCGATGCGAGCATCATGCGACGTCATATGATGAAGAATTGGAGAGATACTGCCGCTGCTTAGTGACTTTCGTGTTTAGGAGTGACAGTGGTCGTACCCGATGACATTTTCACAGCTCACACCTCATACTCCATGTCTATTTGCCGTGTTGTGTGTTGTTGGTGAACTGACATTGTAAGAATGTGAATTTTGGGATGGACCCTAATAAATTTTATTTTTTTATAATATTTGTGATTAATAGAGTATACGGTAATCCTATGAAACAAGCTTAATGATATTTTTTATCCTAAGAAATTAGTTTTATAAATTTGTATACTTCATAATATTTATATATTAAGCTCATGACAATAATATAGTCTCTACAGGGTGTTAAAACGTTCACACTTTAATCAGGATCTTAAATAATTGTGATATAATTTTTTTACTCTTTTAAAATTATTCGAGTTACTCTTTTACCTAATTGTTAAGTTGAAACTGGTTTACAATCATGATGGAAGAAGAAGTTTGTGAACCTTTAAACCTATGCAAGAAGAAACCCATTGCTTTTGTCACTCCATCGCCTGTCTTCGATGATAACCATAGCCAAAGTGATGAAAGCGAAGAGAAAGAAACTGATAAAGCTGACGAGTGTGTTAAACCGGAGGCAAGTTACAACAGTGTATACAGCATGATAAGGAGTTTGGCCAACTGTGAACAGAGCTTCCTCACAGCTATGTACATGGGTGGGTTGGTGCATTCGAATTTGCTTGCGGGACGAAGCATGCCTTTCTTGCCTCCTAGCCCTTGGACTAGGCCCCCGCCTGCTCCTAAGGAGCTGTCCATATCAGTCCCACGCTTGGAGATTAGGCTGCCTCAATCTGGATTGAACATTCCGACTTTGAAGACTTCACCTCCAGTGCCCTCAAAAGTTGACAAACAAGATAAGAGTTTAAAATGGTAACTAATAAGTTCCTTTATAATTTATTTAATATGTATCTGTATTTCATTTTATCTTATTTTATTATGATTATGATTATTTTTCTGATTTATCTGTAATATTTCAGGTCCTCATCCATGGATCATAAATCATCTTCTTCAGCTAATGACAGTTCGAAATCTCAAGACTCTGCTCATACCAGCAACAATCAAGGTAAAAAGATCATCTTTTGTCTTTTTTTATCATATCTGTTAAATCATATCTGCCTTGGTCAGAAGTATTAGACACCCACATATTTTATTAAAACATAGTAAAAGGAAGATAAAAATAACATATACTTTCATCACACATCTTTATTTAAGTATCAAACAAGTCGAATTAATATTCTGTCATCAAGGTGAAAAGATGGGAAAAAAAGGTTTTATGATTCCATCTATCCTTTTTGGTATAGAATTAACAAGTCTTGAACAATCTTCTTTGTCTATTTTTCCTCACTCCTATTTTAAAAATGGAAACACGTTATCTTTCTTTGTTGGGTTATGTTTACCAACAATTTTTAATTTAGAACTTCAGTGCTCAATCGGAATAAGATCTGAGGGCTGAGGAGACCTGTCAAGTGCCTTAATAGTATATTTTTTCAAACCATTCTTGACTTTTGCTTGAAACGTGGCATGCCGTGTTACTCTTTTGAAAAATAATGTTTTCTCTGTTATCAATACAAATATTTTTTCAATTGGAAGCTCAGAAGTTTGATTTAGCATTGATAGTAGGTATCACTATTCATGCTCCCTTTGCATTAAAAACATTTCTCCAACACCCGAAGCTCCCTTACAGTCCCAAATCATTATATTTCCTCCACCATGTTTTTAATTTCAGTATACTATAATTTAATTATCTCAAAGTTACTTTCATCAGGCCAGACCACCCGTGCTCAATCTTGAGCACTCCAGTTTTGTTGAAATTAAGCCCAAATAAGCGTCTTTCGATTGGCTTCCCTAAACCATGGTTTCTTCCTGGCCTTATAAGCTTTCAGACCCTTCTCTACCGGTGTTCTTACTGTCCAGACAGAAATATCAACAGAAAACGAGGTTTTTATTTCTTTAGCCAACTGTTGCAATGTTTTTTTGTGATTCTGATAAGTTGTTCTCACCAAAATAACTTTCCTCAGGTACTCCTGTTATTATCTTTCTTCCTATCCTAGATAGTGAGGAACATGTGATAATGTTCAGTGTCGAATAAACGTATATTGAACAGCACAATGAGAGCAGTTTAGCTATCTTGGACTGGATATACTCTTCCGATGACATAAAAACTACCTTTGCCCGATCAATCTCAGTCGATTTTTTAACTTTACCATTTTTAATTTTAAAAAATAAAAAATATAATTTTTTATGATAAAACTATTCAAATAAAACCAAAGCATTCACTGTTATCATAAAGAGAGCTAATGCTGTGCTAAGAACTTTCTTACATTCCATTATTTTTTTCTAAAGTATTAACTAGGAGGCAGAGGTGAATATAATCCATATAAGGGATCCATTTTTGTCAACACAAATTTTGGAAGCAGCTGTGAATATAGAATTTCTTATTAAAACGAAATAGACAATTTTGATAGGTGCCTAATACTTTTGGCCAAGGCTGTATATGTATTCATGTTCAGTGTTGAAATTGTTATCTATTAGAAAATAGATTCTCAAAATGTAGTACACTCCTGAAGGTTCACATAGGTTGATGTAATCTTTATATCTCCAACTTTTCACTTTTATTTAGATAACTCATTTAATATTAATTCTACATGACCAAAACCTCAATTGTTTGTTATTTCTTGATATAGAGTTCAAATAATTTTTTTTTGTGTGTGTGAGGAGATCCTTAGACTACTTAAGTTTAAGAGCACCTGTCCTAGATTGAACCATACTTGATATTTGTTTTATATTTGCATTTTCTTTTTTTCTCTTTGATTATTTATCCGCACCTGTCATGGTATTGACGATCAGCAGATGTGTTGTGATGATGAAGATTGGCATTATAGGCATGAGGAAGGATAGTACCCAATAGCACCTCTTCCGGGTCATTATTTACTTCTTTGATTTATGTGAGGAGATCTCTTATCCAGATCCTTTTTAGTCTCTTCCTGATGGACATGTCAGTTGTAGCCATGTCGTTTATAATTCTATTTGTGTGTCCATGTAGTTTGAGATGAAAACGAGAGTAGAGAATACATATGTTGCTCTATAGTTGGTTGTCGTAAGTCGTTATGTAAAGTTTTGTTGTTGATGTACCAGGGAGCTCCTGTTATAAGTTGTAAAATTTTGGATTGAAATGACTTTAGTTTTTTTAAGTGCATTTTAGTTGCTGAACCATAAATCTGAGAGGTCCAAATGGGTTTGAGAAGGTAAGTGTATATATTTAGTTTTTGTCGAACATTCAATTTCGATTTTGAATAAAGTGAGTACAGTATTTTCAGTCGCTTGTTTAAGGTCTGTCCTTTCATTTTGACATGTGGTCCCCAGGTCATCCTTCTGTCGAATATTAGTCCCAGGTAACATACTATGTTTGTCTGAAAAATTTGGTTCTCTCCTATATAAACTGGTGGGCACGTTTCTCGTCAAAGTGTAAATGTTATATGTTGTAACTTGGCATGATTTAATCTTATTTTCCAAAGTGAGTACCAATTTTGTAAAGTCAGTAAATGATTTTGTAAATTTATATGCACTTAATAATTTTTTTGTGTAGATTTATTAATATCTTCAGTAATTAAACTGTGTAAGTCTTATTTGAAGAGAGGTTTGATTATTAATGTGTAAAGTACCTAATTTTTTCTTTTAAATGTAATTTTTAAAAAATTTAAATGACTTAATGATTTAACTACTTCATTTCAATTTAGAAAAGAAAAAACCACACATTAAGAAGCCACTGAATGCTTTCATGTTATACATGAAGGAGATGCGGGCCAAAGTTGTTGCAGAATGTACTTTAAAGGAGAGTGCTGCTATCAATCAAATTCTTGGTAGACGGGTAAGCATAGATATAGTTATTTTATTTTTTATTTATTATTATTTTTCTCTTAAATTTCATCAAATTGGTTATAAAAACCTTTCAGTTCTCAATTAATGAACAGTTTTTATATTATACAATATTACATTTCGATAACTTTTCATTATTTCAAAACTGCTTTTCTTTTATGGCGGTTCTTGCTTATTTTGAAGTGTATATTTTAGTTTATGCTTATATTATTTTATTTATTTCCAATTAAAATATTTTTACTATATAACTTATCATGAATTTCAAATTAAAATATTATTCTATTGTGATATAAAATATATACTATTTTCTCAATATATTTTATAATGCTAATTCCTTTTCATGCTATTTTGAGTAGGATAGAGATATGGATAGAGAGTGAGAGAGAGCTGATTTTTAGTTTATTGTTTACATTTGGATACGTTCATATTTAATTCCATTTTAATAATTATTCCATGAAACCTTAGCATTAGGTTATTTATTGTTTTCATATACTTATTTTGATGTCAAATTTGCATAACTATATTCATCGTCAAGCAAGTGTTTTTGTATTATTCACTGTTTTTGAAATTTTGAATCCTAAAAATTAGTCAGTTTTGTTTTTATTCTTGAAGTTGCTTTTTACTGCATTTGTCACAATGATGTTCTTTGTTCTTAAGAATGAATTTATATTTTATGGGTTATTTTGTTTTTTCTTATATTTAATACCTTGATCTTCTCTTGAATTCATTTTCAAAGCTGTTGAAAAATTCAACAACGATAAATTTGTTGTCTGTTATATAGTTATTTATCACTGGTATTAATTAAGAATTTCATGTTGACAATAATAAAGCAAGTTTTAAATACAATAGTTCTGAAAGGTTTTTAAGGGACTTGTTTATATTCAGATCCATGCTTCCATTATATTCAATCATAAGTTATCTCATTTCTATTGTTAATTTTTATTTTCATTTTATATTCTGTTTAGTTGAAAAATATTATAGTCTAGTAATTGTATTATTATTCAATTTTAGTAAAATTGATAATTTTACGATGCAGCATTTCATTTATTTAAATATTAGATTTATATTTATATTGTTAAACAATTAAAACAGGGACATATATTTTATTAAATGCTGTGTGGATTTTTAATTTTTTTTTTACATTTATTTTTGTCGTGGAGATAGGTTTAGATAATTTTTGTTGTGATAAATTTAAAAATCAAACCCGGGCGGTGGTTTTAGTGGCACAGCTTAACTCGAGAGGAGCAGGCCAAGTATTATGAAAAGGCGAGAATCGAGCGACAACTCCACATGGAACTGTACCCCGGGTGGAGCGCTCGAGATAATTACGGCTATGGAGCGAAGAAGAAGAAGCGAAAGAAAGAACGCGTTACCATCACAGATTCCGGAGGTACAGCACGGCCTCCAAGATACCCTTAACCATTAAATAACCTTTTCTTCCTTAGTTCCTGCTAGCTTGCATTGGCTTCCCTCTTCTCAAGTACTTTGCACTACTGTCTATTAGACTTTGTTCCTTTGTCTAATTAACAAGATTAAAATGGTTTATAAGGATTGGGCAAGTCAATATAAGTTAGCTGCTTTAACATATCACCAGTAACCCTCCTGGTATCAAGTATAACCCACGAGTTGTGTTATGCTTTATACTCTCCTCATTCTTATGCCACTGTACTATATCTGAAAGCAATTTGTGATATATTATGCTTACACTTAAGTGAATCTCAAACACCACACTCCTTTAATAAGTATTCTCTCTATTTCATTGGTTTAAAGAGGTGTATTATATTAACTGGTTCAATAATCATTTCTATTTTTTTTGTATGTATATTATTTTACTTGTGGTGTCTTGACTCACACTAAGGCTCTTTGTATCACATCCTGCTATTCTTCACTTAGCTGGAAGAGTGGCATCTTCGATTGGTCATTCGAGAGGTGCCTCCTAGGATTGCAGACAAACAGTTTTAAAATTAAAAAATGAGAAAAAGTGTTACCCGAAGGGTAATGCTCAGCAATCGGCCATCAAACGCTCCTTTCACTCTCACTTCCATTTCCTATCCCTTTGTGTCAGTGGCGCTGTAATTAAATTTAAAAATTGGTAGGTCGAGAGGGTTTAATTTTGTTTTTAATTGATCTAAGCAAAAAAAAAAAAAACAGCAATTTAAAAAGTCATAGTCATGTTAGGTTTAATTTTCGTTTTCACTCTGTAGTGGCATGCCCTCGGAAGAGAAGAACAAGCAAAATACTATGAGCTGGCACGTAGAGAGAGGCAGCTGCATATGCAGCTTTACCCCGATTGGTCTAGCAGGGCGAATACAACTCGGGGCAAGAAGAGGAAACGAAAGCAAGAGACAAACGATGGAGGTACAACACCCCACCCTCCCTATAATTGCGCAATTTGCTCTTTTAGCTTGTTTGACGGTTTCGTTATTCTTTATTGTTATTATACTACATTTATTATCTACTGTTTATCATTTTTTTATTATTACTATATTTTCTCTACTATTTTGAGGCATTGCTCCTGAACAAAACCTTTTACCTTAACCCCTCCCCATCCTCAAGCACGATAAATTGACTCTGTGATTATATGTTGGACTTTTTTTGTTAAGATTAGTGACGGCTGGTTATTATTATATATATTTTTTTTTACTTTTTTATCTTTGCCCAATCTGGATATTTTAAAAATTTAAACTATCATTTTTATATTTATTTTTGTCATGCTTTTATTTTTATATCAAAACCGAGGATAAAAACAGAGTCAGTTACAATTATGGAAAATTTGCTTATTTTTAAAGGGGTGTTTGTTGGCTGTTTGCATGTTTAAATATTTTTATGGATTCTAAAAGCAATAAGAACTGAACCTTTTTACATTATTCTGTATAATATCGTAATATTTTAACGATGGAAGCAAATTGATATTGCAGTATGAAGTTGTATGGATATTTAACTAATATGGTGGCCTTAAAGCACTTTCTTCTTTTATCAGTTTAAATAAAAATTATGACTTTATTTATTTAAAAATTATTATAATAAATATCAAAGTCATTCTGTAAACTCCAAACTGCAATCTATGCTCGAATGACCATGTTTACATTATTCTTTCATTTTTTACTATAATTTTTTTTTAACTTTTTTATTTTATGATAAAGGCTTCTGTGAACCCCAAACATTGCATGCCAATTTTATATTTTATTGGTATTATTTTCTTTTTTAATAAGCATGTCGCACTAACAGCATGAATTTTATACAAACTGTAAACTATGTTTATTATTTATTTATTTTTTTTGTTTAGTATTATTTTTATAACAAATCAATTTAATTATAGAAAGAATTTTTCATTATTAAGTTTTAAAGTTTAAAAAATTTTTAACCAGGTGTCAGTTGAAAAATCAATTTTGTATTTCTTTTAAATATTATAGTATTTACTAAAGTAATTAATTTGATTCAAAGAAATATAATTAATTATGTGTTATTCATGTTTTATGTATTATATATTGTTCAGAAGTGCTAAAAAATGTTTTGCCTCTTTATTCATTACTACTGTTAATAATTAAGTTGTAGATAGTTTATTATTATCCGTTTAATCTTAAAACCATGATTCAAACCCACATCATTTGGGTTTGCAGGCTGACTATGGTTTAACCCACTTGGCTACCCTGGCCCACAAAGATTTATATATTTTGTTTTAAAAAAATTTGGGGGAGGGAGTCTGGGATATGATCTTATCTTGACTTTTCGTTTTGGATTGCTGGCTGTCTATGGGTCGTTTTGGTTAGCAATCATTTTATGAATCCAGAAAATATCTACCAAACTATGATTCCATTTATAACCATTTTTCTGATTTTTCTTTTGTTTTTTCTGATTTTAGAAAATTAAGTGTTCCCATTCAGAAATTTAACTGGATTCATTCAACTTGTTATCTTTGTATGCATACATTAATAGCTTTCTGAAGATCCCAAGGTTACAACAATATTTTGGCACATATTGACATCTTATTGTTTTCATAGTTATTCTCAAATTATTGAAAAGTAATATTCCCTACAATTACATTAATGATGAACTATAACTGATTAAACTATTTTTCTAGTCAATACTGAGTTACATTGGAGGATCTTCATTTCTACTCATTTTAATTTATGTATGTTAAAGATAATTTCTGATAGAGATAAACGGTTAATTACTGGGATCAATTTTCTATCCAAATTTTAATTAACAGTACACCTGGACTAGTCTCAAAGCAATTTTTCAGTGTTAATAAGCTGTTCCCAAAAATATTAGTAGTTATTTCCTATGAATCGTGGACATAATGGGTTCATTTCTAAAGAATTAAAGTTTAGAAAGTTTAGACTTGTGTTTCTAATTAATTATATTCTTGAATTTGTTAACAGCCAGGCCATTCTATAAAACTAAAACATGTTGTGAGTAAATGACTGATTCCATATTCTCCAGCTATCATTATATTGGCAAACGATTTTTGAGATGTTGCCTTTTCCAAGATATGCTTAGCTGTATATATTTTTATTTTTATATTGATTTATCTTTTATAATTAGTATTGCTACATTCAGAGGCAACAAAAGTGACCACAATCATTTGCTTTAGTTTAAAATCAAGAAATAACTAATTTATTGAGAATGTTTTATAATAAATAACAAATGTCATGAAACTAATCAGAAGTAAAAATAACACATAAAAATCAAATCAATACATCAGTATAAAAGAAATAATGTTTTTGTAGTATTTTATGCACATTTAGATTTAAATTTAGGGCATTTCTTCCTCATATGTTTGTAATAGAATAATTTAATATGACATCGATCTAATAATATTTTTAGTAAATGCCTGAAGGATATTTTGATATGGTATTAGGAAATGGTGTCCACTTTTTTTATCTCTCTGTGTATAATTTATATAATTAATATGTCTTCAGTTTACTGCAAAAAGTCATTAAGTGGCATTTCATAACCTTAAATAATTAAGAACTTTAAAGAGTTTCCTTTATTAAATCCAAAAATTTTGCAGTTTTCATTAATACATTTGATGTATAAAAGGATTTATTTTATTCTTGATTATGCACAAAGATTATGCACTTACAGTATTTTTGTATTGATAAATTAAGTCAAAATTCACAAAAACATATTTGAAAGTTAACCTATATCAAAAATGCTCTTAGTGACTTTTTTCAATAATCGATGATATAGTGTATTTGTATACAATGATTGTGGTTTTGCCACTTTTAATTTAATTTAAGATTGTCTACTAGTATTACTCTTCTTATTGATTTTTTTTTTTGTTGCAAATTGAAAAGAATAAAATTCTGGCACCTGGTGGTATTGTAGTGAATATATTTCCAAATTTTGTTTTAATGATTCAAATTTTCTATGCAATTTACAGGTAATTCCATGAAAAAATGTAGAGCAAGATATGGCCTGGATCAACAGAGCCAGTGGTGTAAGCCTTGCAGGTAAATAGATATTTCATTATTTATTTATTTTTTTAATATACAATTTGTTGTAAAATATAACCAACATAACTTTGTATGTGAGGATGTATGAATGAGTTCATGAAATGGATCAAGTGATTAAAATATTTTATTCTTAAAAATATTTTCTAATTTCTGCTGTTTCTATAGGAAGTTTGCTTTGAATTTTATTCAGTATCATTTTGACAGTTTTTTAAATTTTAGGTGAATTGTCTTTTGGTATTTAAATTCTTAAAAAAAAATCAGCTGTCTGTCAATATGTGTTTTCAAGGGAATGCTATACCACTTCTGGTTATCCATAAATATCCACATTCCCCAAGGAATTTAGGTTTCCTTCAAAACATTTCAAGTTACAGTAGTAATGTTTTTTTAATTCAATCAACAGGTTTTAAATAAAGATGTGTACATAAGAAAATAGTGTGATCAAATTATTTTCTGTTTTTATACACTTGGTAATACAAATATTTAAATTTAAATGGTTTAATCTACTACAAATTGAGGTAATGTTTTTAGTAATTTTGATTTACTCAGAATTATTATTTGAATTGTAGAAGTACTTTATTGTATCACTCCCTTCTTCCAAAAGAGCTTTTTTCCTCATGGGATCAATAAAACAAGAAAACTATTAAGTATCTACTGCACATGATTTTTTTCATTATTTTTTATTCTATCTGACTCACTGATAATGTTTTTATGCAATACTGCTAGAAACAGTTCTCATAATACATATTTTATATTTAGAACAGTATAATAAATTGATTCGTTTTAATTTTTAGAATTGTATATTAGTATATTGTTTAGAAAATTGTTCTTACTTTTTGATTCGAACTTGATTAGTCTAAGATCTTGATAAGAATTTATGTTATTATTATTTGTTGTGCAATTTATACCTATTGTTCCTCTTATTACTTACCATGGGGACACAAGTCTCCTAGTTCCCATAAATATTTTTTTCTGAACAGATTAATCATATCTAGAATTATGTGTCATTTGTAGTCCAAATAAGTTTCTAATTATTAGTGATAACTCTTGGTGATACGGTACTTCATCCTTTTATGCTTGATCCAAGTTTTCACTGATTCAAGAAACTGAAATTGATAGATTCAGCTTAAAGCTTATGATAATAAGTTTTAGTGTCTCATTGCATTTTTTATGAGTATAAGGCTATATGTGTAGAATATCTCGATAATAATTAGTATTCAGAATTCAGTTTGAGTGTTCTGTCTTTTCCTTTTTATACTGAATGTTTCATAGGATCGTGAGTCCATACTATATTGTCCACAACTTGGTTCTGGAGTGAATAAACTAGGTTATTTCTGTTGCAAAATTTCTTGATGATAAGATTTATATAAAAAAAAACAATGTCCATCTTTATTTATTTATTTTTTTGTATGTTTTCCTTTTGATATGAGTGGAAATGATTAATTTTTATTCTCAGTTTTTAAGCTCTGTTCTTATTTTTAAAAATTATTATACACAATCAGGTGTCTGCTTAAATCAGTCCCAAATATATATATATGTATGTATACACAAATAATGTGAATAATTGGTATTTGTTATTTTGTTTCATGTTCTAAATGTGATATAGCTTTGTAAATGTGTGCCTGAGTATGTTTGATTATTTTTAATATATTTACTATATTGTTAAATATATATTATAACTTGTAAGATATTAAATGAGCTAGAAGATAAAACTACTGGCTAGATGTGTGATTATGATTGATCTGGTTTCCGGCAGCCCGGAGCTAGGCGGGCAGGGGCTAGGCCCCGCTGCACTCGTCCACGCTGGCTTTGGAGCAGCCAACAATGCTTCCTCCCCGCAAGAACCAACTTATGTTAACCTCTAGGACACGATCACTCTCGGGGATCCGTTTGTGAGTCCGTGGATATATCATGGATGGATTGATGTCGTGTTTCTGCTTGTTGTTTTATTTTCTATTTTTTTGTGGTTGTTTTTTTTTTTCTATCCAAACACTTCTTCTTACTCGTAACACAGTGTGCGCTGTGAATGAGTTAACAGCCACCATTTTATTTTTTTTATTTATTTGTTTTTGTTTTTGTATTATTAAGTGAACCTTATGCTTTTCTATTATGCACGAGCCAATACCTTTATCTTTTCTTTGTTTTTAACTTTTAATCTTTTACATACCTTATCAATTGCTTTATTTCTTTGTTAATTTTTTTTTTTTAGGTTTGTGAGTGTTTTTAGTCTTGTAAAATTAGTTTATAAAGTTTTTATTATTTTCGCTTTGTCCTACTGCACTGTAGTTCAAGTAATTTTATAGATCTGTAAAACTAGCTAAGTTTGTTTTGTGAGATTTGAGTATTAATTTATTTCAATATTCAGATTATAAAATTTATGAACTCTTACCACTTGATATAATCAATACATATATTTTTAACATATTTAAAATCATCCATATTTGTCAGACATTGATTTCTTTCTCAAATTTTTTAAAATAATTTATATTAAAAAAAAAGTATCAAAATCTATTACATTAAATATAAATATTAAAGGATTTTTTACAATTAAATTACAGACTGATTAAATTAGTAAATCAGTAAATTAGGACCGTTTAACTTTATATAAGTTGAGCTAAACTCTTAGACCAAACCATAACTAGCTAAGATTAGTAGATAAGTTAGATATTTTGCATTTATTTATTCTTTATATATGGCAATTACAATTGTAAATGTTTTTAAGAAATCTATTACGAAAATTGGTGGTAACATCCTTAAGATGATAATAATATAGTTTTCCTTATTCTAAAACTAATTTACACAGACTATCAATTCCAGTTATTAAGATAGCGATGTAAGTAAAATGCCTTGGGTTGGGATATGGTGAGCAAAAAACTGTTCTTGAGAGGTAGGTGGAATACTCAAATTCAAAAAACCTCTTACCTAAGAAATTTTTCTTGTAATCAGCTATCACAAAAAATAATGTTTTAAAAAAGTATCAGATTATCGTCCTTGACTATGATTCATTGAAGTATGGGATCGGTTCCTGTGGACCTTGAAGATCTAGTAGTCATTTAAAAGAGACCATGTACATATACTGATCAAATTTTCTTAAATTGAAAAGTTAAAAGTATGTTAAGTTAGTTAGAGATAGTATAATAGTTGCTTTGTACTGCTATGTAGCCCTGATATATTTCAGTAAGTTTACTGTCAAATTTTGAAGCTAAAAAGACTTAATGCATTCTGTGATGACTTGTGCAGTTAAATGTTTTATTGCTAAAACACTCTCATTCGTTGAAAATTAAATATTTTATAATTTAGCAATAGTTAGGCTTTTTTTTTTAGAAAACTTTATAATTAATTCTTTTGAAATGTTTGATAAACAAAATTGATTATTCAATTTAATAAACAATTTTGGAGTGATCCTCCAGAATAGTGTATCTACAGATCTGCAACATATTGGAATTGATACTGGTTATGAGCTACTATCAATGTGATTTTGATATTTGATTTTCATTAATAAAGACTGTCTTTGGAATTTTCAGCTGTAATATAAAGCTTAATTTTGTTGTTGATAATTTTTACAACTTAATATTTTGCTATTATTAATTAGATTAATATCTATTCAGGAGCTTAGACCTAGGCCTAGAATTTTTTGAACTTTAGGGGTACGTGAGTGCTAATCGATCTGTGTTATTGGTCAAATCATTGTTATAGACTGTGTTTATGATTAAGACATACTTTCAACCTTCATTTTCAGTTATGTGGATAAAACTATCTTTCATGAAAAGTTGTTGACAATTTTTCAATTTTAACTGAAATTCTATTAAAAGTTCTAGTTGTTGGGAGAGGGCTTGTGGTCTGCCAATGTTCCATTAATGCTAAATAGTATAAAATGAAATAATAATATCAAACTTTGCAAGACTCAAAATATCTAGAATTGCAGTTTTGAACTCTGTGTTGATAAGTAAATTTATAATTAGGTATGTTGCAGGTTTAGATTCGCTATTCTGAACCTAATTAACAATAGAACTGGAAAACTTAATTATGTCTGCTTCATAGATGTACTTTTGATTCTGGTGATTGTTTTAATATTCTCTGATTGTACTCTTCCATAATTTTTGTGATGTATTCTCTTAAAGGGGTTTTGAATTTTTTAATTAAAAATGTGAAGGTCATTGTGTAACATGAGATTTGAAATATAAAGGGGGGCCGTCGACAATTTTGGGAAGAACTTTTGACTGAAACAATTGAATTTTTTTTTTTATATTTTATGTCTTTGTTGTTTTTCATAACTTAATACCACATGTCCAAAGTATTTTAATTAGGACTTTGTACATATTTAATTTTTTAGTCACTGATAATTTAAAATGTCTGTCAAGTAGCCTAGAAATTAAAATCTTAGCAAAAATAACAAGATGAATCTAACCAATAATATTTAAGTTCCTATTAACATCAGTTTTAGGGTTCACAGTAATGCAATAATAATTTCTTTGTTAATTGAAATGCTCCATTGATATTTTCACATTCCCAACTCCATTTTTTATAAAGTAGGTATTTAGAAGCTTAGAAAATTTTGTAAAGTGTGTTTCAAAGGCAGTGGGACATTTTGAAAAAACAATAAATTATTCATTATAGGTGTATTAATTTTACCATAAAACTGATATGATTAGTTCGAAAAATACATCACTAGTCATCTTATTGTTTGCTCTTATAAACCTATCTTTAGTTCTGATGTATATCTATTACTTTAATGATTTATATCTCTAATAGCTATTACTTTTCAATTCAATTGTAATTAGTTTACCGCTGCTTACAGTTTGTTATAATTAATGTAATATTCTTTAACTGAAACTTCACTTATATTGTGACTATGCGAAAAAGTTTTCTGTCAGTCAAAATGAATATAATCTTTTATACACCTAGAACATTATATTGCCAAATTGTTTGCTCATTCATCCAAACTAATTTTTTTTTTTTTTGCTGTATTTACTGTATAAGTTATCTACTTTATAAATTTCATTCAGCATTTTAATTTTTTTTTTATTAATTTATTTTTAATGAGATATTTTAAAATGATTTTAAATTGAATTTTTACTGTTTACAGGCGTAAAAAGAAATGCATTCGGTACAAGGAGTGTGGAGACGACGGGACTGCCTCTGAAGATAACCTTGGAAGCGTTGACAGCATAGGGGACTCTAGAGCATCGCCTGACTGTGACGGAGAATCGTACCAACAGAGTAGCGGCTCCAGCCCTGGAGGCCTATCCGGCCTGTCCAGTTTGACTAGCCCAGGACTACTTGCTAGCCCAGGGGGCAGCCTTCACTCTCCATCGGTCAGCCTGGCGAGTCCTTCGCTCCAGTCACCCCTAACACCTGGAGACTACGACATCAAACCTCCTCGACCAGTTGGGGCCAACCCGCACGATGCTAACAACCCTCTGTCAGTGAACCAGCTGACTGGCAAGTGTATCAAAGCTGGCTCCCCGACTCACCACCAGCAACCTCAGGCCAAGGAGGCAAGGACAGTGATCAGTGTCCCGTAGCGATTGTCCCACGGGCGATAGCCCTGCGTTCTGCTCATTGCTCTTTGCTCCAGTTACCCTGACTTCTATTAATTTGTTAGCTAGCCGTAATCAGACCAAAGATCTATCACTCATGTTTGGTGTAGTGACTGCCTTTTTAACTGACAGAATGTTTTGAAAAATTATGAATTTTGGTTACTTAACTTAAATTAAAAAAAGTCAATACAATTAAATAAATCAGTTGCGAATATAGTTATTTTTTAATCTTATTTGTTTTCTTTAAATTTGTAAAATTAATTCTTAATATATTTTTTATATAGATATATATTCTTTTACAGAAAAAATTACCCAGATTTCTTTTATTTTATAAGTATTAGTATAGTTAAACTTACCTGCATTTTATATCTTTTTAATCACAAGTTGTAAAAGGTAGTCATGTTACCACTTTATTTTTCAAAATTACTCTCTTTCTGAAAATTGACATCTGATTTTAGTTTCTAACAAATATTAGTACACAATCCATAGCATCTTTTTACAGTTTTGTTCATTCTCCCTTCTCATTTTGAAGCTTCCGCAGCATTATCTATTCATCTATTTCTTCAATAATTATTATAGAACTGTTTCTATGGATATTAATAGATTTGTGTTGATCTTTTATTTTCGTTTTAGAATTTGATGCAACATTCCAACACTTTTCTATTAAATATAATAAAGATAAGCAGATACAAAAGAGCTGTGAGAGTGAGACGCAAAAGACTTCTTTTTTCCAAATGTGATTTTCGTTATTAATGCGTAAGAATAAGAGAGAAGAAGTGAGTTTTAATACAAATAATATGTTGTATGTAAAACGGACGTGCTTCATTGTATATAATATAGGAGTAAGTGCAATTTGTAGTTTGTGTCAAAAAGTGTTGAGTGTTTATCATTATAGTTTAATAAAAGATAAAATCGTTTTGTTATTATTATTTTTTTTATATATGTATAAAATGAGTCAAGCTAACAGAATACTCAGGACAACTTGTGAAAAATGACCAGGCAAAATGATTATTTTTTAATATTAATGATGATTTTATTTTAATTGAGGTAGTTTCTTAAAAAAAAAAGGACTACTTCATTTTAATATTTTTGTTTCAGGTAATTATGACAATGTATAGACGCCATAAGATATAATAATATAAATTGGAAAGTAAAGAAATTTAAAACTGTAATTATTTTCTTTTAGATATTTTCTTCTATCTTAATTATTTTTGTCAAATTTAGCCAGTTCGAATTTTAGACCAGGATCAAAACAAGAAAGAGTTGGAACTAATATAATATAACATTTCAAAATTTTAATTTACTTATATTACTAAAGATTTGTTCTCAGTATTTAATTATTCCAAATTCACAAATAGCATAAACCCATATGTCAATAAAACATGTTAATCGTTTCTTTTAATCTTTAATCGTTCCCTAGGTTTTTATTGATGACAATATTTATTTCTTCAAACTTTTTTTAATATATCCCCACAAAAAAATTAAATTTTATGAGATTAAATTTAAAATAAAAGTAGTTTTTTATTGCCAATTATTATTTTTAAAAAAAACAGTTTTTTTTTAATTTAAAAACTCTTTTTTGGTCCTTGGTTTTAATCATATTAATGGTTGATCTTTTTTTATTTATATATAGTATTATTTGTAATTTTATTGAAAGTTAATTATATAAATTAACAGTTAGCAATCCTATGTCATAATTACCTTTTTGTATTACTATTTTCCTTATTCTCTTTTTACAAGTTAAGATCTCTTAAATATTATTATGTTCCTTTGTGCCACATTTAGTTTACATAGTTAAGTATTGTCATTTTTTTAGATATGGTAGCAATATAAATCTTATTCAACACATAAAGTTTCATCATAAAGCCTATTAAATACAATCAACTAATTGTGATAACGATCGATTTGACTAAATCTATTCTCTAAACCATATTTTTAATATATTAAAAAATTAATTGTTTTGTATCCATTAAACAATATCCATTAAATTTTTGAAAACAGGAACAAATATATTAAATTCAATTATTAGTTTTTTTTCTATTCTTTTTTAATTTATATATTTACTTTACCTAATCCATTTTAAAAGCAATAAATTAAAGTCTTGCAGCAAATAAAACCTATTTATACTGTTGTAATTATTAAGTAGATACTTGTTTAACTAATGAATCAATGTATCTAATTAAATATACTTAAGTAGTGTTCAGGTTTAGAAAAAATAAATAAAGTAATTCATAAACATGCTTCTAGCCAACGAAGTTCTAATCCAAGTCAATATATTTTTGGAATAAATGTACAGAAAGAATAAAGAACTGTTGGCTTTTATTTTTTATTTGTTTTATTGTAATTGTTATTTTTGGCTTTATGATATTTACTTGTGAAAAGACTGTTAAAAGGTTAAGATTAAATAAGCGGGAATTGCTAAAAGAAAAAAAAAAAATTAAAATCTTTTGTGTAACCCAAACTTTTATGATTATATTATATATATATTTTTTTTAAGTTTTAAGGTTTGTTAGGAGATTATCAGACACAATACAAGCCGAATATATACAGGTGCTTTTTCTGTATGTCCTGTTATAAACTGTTAGTTATTGTTATAAAGTGAAAATATGTTATAGAAAAAATTAGTCTTGTCATTTTGACCATTGTAAGTATTTGTAGAAAGTGTATAGAAAGATTTGTCTCTCATCGATTTTAAAAGTGCCAACAACATTGATTAGGAGGTAGTTTTTAAGAATAAGGCCCCAACAACCTTTATTACGTCCTAATTAACTTATTCTTATCTATTGTAATTCTGCAATGGATATTTTGTATGTGATTTTTTTTTTAATTACATTTTAAAATTTATTTGATTTTATCTGTCATAAGAAGTTTTGTAATATTTCCAAGGGAAAATTGTTTTAAAATGGGGAGTATAGAACTTCCTAAAATGTATTTGTAAGTAGTTTTATGTTAAATAACATTGTACAAAACCATTTACTTTTATGTTACTACTGTACAGCTTATTACAAGATTTTTATTTAGTTATTTTTATTTATGTGTTTATACGAAATACGAAATGTTATATATATATTTTATTGTAAATTTGATTAGAGAAAAAGTTTGTTTTTAGATTATCAATTTTTTATTATCTACTTCATGAAGAGAACTGTATAAAATTGGGCATGCTTTAAAGCTAAATGTGTTCGGGATAGATTCAGATATACATATAAAAATAATTTCTTACCGACCTAATGTTTCATTAAATAGATATTTTTATCATTTCATTCACAATAGTTATTTACAAAAATTTAATAATGCTTGTATCAAGTCTCTTGACCGAGATTAAAAATACATATATTTGATTGTCTTCTTTAATAATATAAATCACAATAGTAGTGTATTTTAATTTATCAAATAAAATTTTAAATTAATAATATTGGTATATTAAAAAAAATCAGTGTTGTCACAATTCTTGTATTATAACCAACCTTACTACAATTGAGCTATAATTTGTTGTATAAGTAAAAATCAACATAAATTTAAAGTTGTTTTGGTATATTTGTTATTTCTTCCTCCTGTTACCGATTCCTTAGAAACATACATGTAATAACAGCAAATAGAACTAATGGATACAAATAGTTCTAATATGGCCTGTTATGTCAGTAGAAGAAATAAGTTTCAGAGTTATTACCCTCGTGTGCTACTGTGACAGGAATGGTAGTACGGTTGAGCAAAATGTATACTGAGAAGTCAAAAATCCTTGAATGTCTGTTGCTTTAACTTTCCTGAAGTTTAGTTGAATAAACAAATGCAACTGTTAAGTTATAAAAAATAATAATTACAGAGATGAAGCTCATTATGTAATTATTATAAAAAATAATAATTACAGAGATGAAGCTCATTGTAATAATTTTAGTTATTGCAGTATCTAGTTCTGAAATTCCATAAATGGCCTTAGGTTCAATACTTTCTTAAGAAGCACTGATACTAGGTCAACAGTTGTGCAGGGAGGTGTTTATGCTGAGAACTGCCTGGTTTTCTGCCCTAATTGACTATTTAATTAACATTATTATGGGACTGAATGAGACCCAGAGTCAATCCACAGCTGATGTTACAGAAAACAATTTCCTCTCTTAGCCAGACTCTAACCTGGTTTGCATAGAAACACAATGACTTACTCACTGAGCTACCTCACAATCTCTATCTAAAGAAGTTTTTATTTTTAAGTATTAAAAATAAAAGTTCAAATACCTGTAACGTAAAAGTTACAGTTAAAACCTTGGCATTAATTCCCTGGCCTAGGAAACCCTGTACAGCCATCAGGGGAGGTCAAAAAAGGTAGTAATAAAAAAAAGGCTCTATATGAAGAATGAAAGAATTTGAAAATTGACTAAAGAAGGAAAAAATTATTTTAGTGAATTTCCAGAAATAATAAAAAAAACTAAGTTGTAGAAGATAATAACTAGTAAAGAAATAATTATAAATACAAATAATTATTTCTGAGAATTAATATTATTTAACAGAATCAAATGTTTCCATGGAAACTAAATAAAATTCCGTAACTAAATGTAAACTTTTAGAATTTATTAAAGTTAAAATAAAAAGTTTATATAATCCATTGAATTGAGCTAATGAAATTATTTTATTGTACTTGTGTTACAGAAGAAGTGGAATATTAAAATATCTCATGGAAAGATTTGCTTATAACGTTAAATTCATTTACTGGATTGATAATTTTAGAGCCGATTATATATTTAAGTAATCAGGCATATATTGTCGATTTATTCTAAAACATCATTGAGTAACATAACACTACGGCTCTGTGGTGTACAGAGGTATCTTGATGGTACTCTAGGATAGATTGAAGCAACTCATGAATTCCTGCTTAAGATTTGTTTTCGGTACATCGAGGCGGTCTCATGTGTCCCACCTTTACGATGAGTTAAAGTGGCTCTTCCCTTCTTTCTGCAGGCAATATTTCCTTGGATTTTTCTGTTCCAAACGATCAACACCCGACACCCTACATCTACAGTCTTCTACAGTACAAACCCGTGTTCCACTCCCAGAAAACAAGATCCCATGTTTCCAACCTTTATATCCCTTCCCATAAAACTAAGACATTTGAATATTCCTTTATTGCCCGATCCACTGCCTTCTGGAATTCCTTGCCATCTGAAATCCGCCATGCCTCTTCCTTGTCCTCATTTAAATATCATCTTTACCAATTCCTTCTCACATCCCAAAATGATGTTATACAATGAAATAAATATTGTGAAACAGATTTTGACTGAGGTGAATGGTTGTTAAAATTGATTGAGTTTTAAATTTAAAAATCAACCCATGCTTATATATATTTTTTTTTTTCATTTAAATAATTTTTTTAAAATGGTGTTATTTTTACTTGTTTTAATATACTTTTACTGAAGATACTGTATATACTTTAATATTCATTAATGTAATTTTTGGCTCTGGATGTAGTTTTTATTTTTTGTTCATAACTGTTATTCATAATGGACCTCGTCCCAGAATAAAGTTTATTTTCTATCTATCTATCTATCTATATATATATATATATATATATATATATATATATATATATATATATATATATATAAATTTATTTTTAAATATCCAATATTATATTTGTCTGTTTCACAATAATTATGTTGAATTCATACACACAATATGAACTGCCACTATTATTTTTTATTTGGACCATCGCTCCCCCAATAAAAATGGAAAGTCTGTGCCTATGCATAAGATTATTAACCTCGAACTTTCATGATTCTTCAGATTAATCTTATTCTGGGCCGACATCCAGACTGCCTGGATACCATCCCAGTACCTGCATAGCCTAGTCATGGAACTCCAGACGACTAAAGCTTGGGAACAAGGAAGGGCTGTCCAAGCTAAAAACGCTAATTGTAGATCAGGGAGGGTTTATTGAAGAACCCCCTTAAATTTTTTTAAAATACAAAATAGCAATATTTTATGTCATTTGACTGTTTCAAAGTTGCTTTTTGTTCAAAATTTTATTTTTATACAAAATTTAATAACAATTATTTTTATTACTGATTTTTTTTTTAATTATTAAAAAATTAGGAAACAAGAACAGAACCAATTTGAAACAGACACGTTTTTATATCTACCAACAAAATAAACATTATACAGAACACATAAATATATATATTTTTTTTAATGCTTAAGCCAAGGCGATTAAAGTAAGTGATTTCATTTCTGCAAAAAAGAAAGATTATCTTTTTGGAAATCTCCTTCTTTAGTGAAACCAAGATCTTAAATAATATAATATTGATTTAATATAATTGACTCCTGTTTGTTATCCTTCAATATATTGCCTTCAATTGTATTGCTTCAATAATGACGACAGTGTAAGGGGCTCTTAAAGGATTCCCTTATAATATGTTAGGCTTATAATATAAGACCTTTCAAATTAGTTATGTTCTTGTTTCTTAATTATTTAATATTTGAAAAAGTATGTAATAAAATTAATTTTTATTAAATTTTGTATATAAATCCAGCTTTGAACAAAAAATTAATTTCAAAACAATTAAAGCGCATAAAATACTGCTATTTTATTTTTTTTTTTTTTAATCCTTTCCTTTCCCCCAAAAAAGTATCCTCCGCAAAAACAAAATTAAAGTTAAAAAAATTATCACCCACCTTCACAAGCATATTGCCATTTTATCTTTTTAAAAAAAGTTGTTGAACACAACTAAAAAATAATTTTATACTATAATTTAAAAAACCCTGAAGCCCCTGTCCCTCAAAATGGGAAATCATAACCATGTTTTATCGAAAAAAATATTTAAAAAATATCTCTCAAAGTATTATTGTTCGTGTAATTACATTCAAAAGGGCTTTAAAAATCAATTAAACACCATTTCATATATGTGGTTAGTTTCTTTCTTTTTTCCCAAAGTAATTATCGTTATTTTTATGAAAAAAAGCTTTCGGGCTGTAGCCCTCCCCCCAAAATTAAATCCTGGATCTGCTAGTGGTTTGCACAACCTCAAATAAAAATACAACGATTTTCACAGTCTGAATAGTTTTCCGCGGAGAATGTGATAAGAATATCACGTGGAAATAGAGGAGGGATTTAATCATTAAATCCTAGGAAATGTTGATATGCAGATACAGATCAAGGTAAATTTTCGGATGGAGTGAGATCCAATTTTGGCGCCCTCAACAACTTGTTACAATAATAATAGCTTATTTTTTAAATTTAACACATTTTACATGCCACTAATTGACGTTAGTTTTATAGTGCAGATTATTTCTAAATAAATCTGCAAGCTACTACCACTTCTGGTAGTAGGAACAAAAGAATCTTCCTTGCTTGCAGGAGGGAAAGAAGAGCCACAATAAACCTCCAGCAATTGCTCATTCCTTTTATCATATATTTTTTTTTTTTATAAATCAAAATAATAGTTTATTTATATAAGTAAAAATTTCTTTACCGACATTCTATAACTCAAGAAACCTATTAGGCCCTAGCCTTGCCAGCTTGTCAACTTTTCTTAATGGAGTTTTGTTTACATATTTTATTCATTCATGTAGCTTATTCATTTTTTTTACTTCAAATTATTGGGTGGAGGAGGGCGAAACGATATTCTTACTCATTTATTATTGGCGATGGACCCACTTGTTCCCTCGAAGTCTGCGCCTATTTCAGAAAGATGAGGCAGAAGAATTCAGAACAACTCGACTCGCCCGATTTGGATGTAAGTATTTTCGATTGCTATACATTCGAAACATCTGTAGTAAATAATTTAGAGATAAATCAACCCACCTTTTACTATACGATAGGAAAACAAGAGATAACGGAGAACGACCTTAAAACTTAGGAAAATCAAGGGAACAAGGATAGATAATCCCGATTCAATAAATAGAAATATGGAGCTACTGCTTGAGTTTTTGGTAGAAAAAGACCTTTTAGCATCCGCATGCAGATTGGCGGCAATCACAGGCGGATCTACGGATGAAGAGGGGGAGGGGCCTTTGGGGCTGAAGCCCTCTCCCCAAAATGGTAAAATATGACTCTGTTTTATGAAAAAAAAATATCTCTATAAGTATTATTGTTGGTCTAATTACATTTAATAGGACTTAAATAATTACTTAATTTCATATAGGTACTTAGTTTCTTTCTTTCTTCCGAAAAAAAAATCCAACGGGCTGCAGCCTCCCCCCAAAATTAAATCCCGGATACGTTGTTGGCGGCAATCACTGTGAGTGTAAAAAAAAATAAAAACAGTACAGGTAATTATTCTCTCAGGCGCAAGGTCAATTAATTTTCATTTAATATTTCATTGTCTATGGATATTGGTAGTCAATAAATATATTTTCCATATATTCCATATAAATATATCATCCAATAGACATCTATCTTTCATAGCAGGTTATCCATCCAATTATTTTTGAAATGGTCCGCTTAACAGCCGTGACTATATCATTTCTTGTTTCATATAGTCCACATTTGCCTGATTTTTCAATGTTTTCCATTTAAATTACATCGAAGTTTAAAAGAAAAACGGTGACTAAACTATCGATTGTAACTAGCCTATTATTAAAATGCTGGCAGGCCGCCATCAACATAACAGCCACAATTCGAGTTTTCAAACCAACCATCTGATAACATTGTTGAAACTTTACACCATTTCATTGTCACCAATGAAGGCAGTATCTATCGGTGAAATGAATAGGGAATTCGGAATAAATCAATGTTATCAATTTAACATGTGTAATAATCTGATACGTGCAAATGGAACAATCCATAGAGGTAAGGCATTGCAGTATCCATGCCTGGCATTTATACCATTGTGATCATGCGCTGTTACGATGCTGGAAGATTAATATATACTTGGATGATGACGTCAAGGGAAAGACGTTTAGCACCTGGAGGTAAGGTAGCTATAGACTATCTATAATAGAAGAATAAAGCTGAATTGCTATTTTAGTTTAACAAACTAAAAAAATAAATCTTTCGACTGGAAAAGGAAACATTGTTTCTGGTCTAATAAACAATTCTTAAAATAAGTTTTAAATACCGTAAATCAACTATATATCTTCAATTATAATATTTCATTGTAAAATTTCGATTCCACAGTTATCAAGTTTCTGATTTAGAAATGTGAAACTATATATTAATTTAGAATACAGCTATAAAAAAAATTTTTTTTTTTAGATATATAGTTTTGATGCAGTTGCAGAATAGTATATGTAAATTAATTTATCTCAATAAGAAGTAAATCGCTACTAAAGCTATTTGTTCATGATATCCTCAGAATAATTATAACCTAATTAGGACATTGTGACAATTGCAGCTTTGCATGACCCAAGCCATAAATGTTGATAAAAATTGTTGCTGCATGGCATAACAAGTGTGAATTATATGAAGGTTAAGAAGGAATGTTATACAATCACTATAGTGTATTAATTAATCTTTTGTAGTCATATCGATTTAGTATTTAACCTATTTGTAATCAGACATATGTCTTTTTAGATGTAACCACACAAGTGTAATTAAAAATAATAAATTGAAATTGTTCGTGTTGTATTAACTGTGAAGTCCTTGACATTAGCGAGGAGGATTAATCCTGGAAATAATTGAACAATATTTAGTATTATGTTACCTCCTGATAAGACGCCAATAAATCCCACAGGGACGGTTATGTTGCCGATTCTAGGTGTACTCAGAGAAGTTTACATAAATATGGTCTGGACTCTCTACAAGGCACGGATTTAAGTATGAAGTTTTCTCAAGGAACCAATAGGTTTAATATTGTCAGAGATTATAAAATTATTTGATGAATATTTTGTGCCGTCTAAATCACTTTTTGGAGTCAGTTGCATATTCAACAATGCAGCAATGGAAGATACTGAATCAATAAATGAATGGGTAGCCCGGGTATTTCTATGTCAAACTCTACTTGCCTCACAATGGAGTCACATTGAAGCATGGATATCCGTATTCACCAAAGACCAATGGAGCAGCTGAAAATGCGGTGCGGATTATCAAGAAATCAGCGATCCTGAAGTATCCCAGCTGTGCCTATGTCGTTGAGGAGAGCTCTACAGCGACTGCTGCTCGCAGTGAAGAAACTCAAATGTACCTACGGAGAACTACAAAATCTTTAAAGTGACTTGTAGAAGAAATCTAATAGTCTGAGGGCCAGACCCCCTTACCGTGCACCCTCCCCCCACATCCATATAAATTGCATATCGTTGTGTTCCTTGTCACTATTTATTAAAAAAAAAAGCCAATGTTCCCACAAAAAAAGTGAACGCACTAAGATGGCGGATTGACGACTTTGACTTTAGGTAATTTTTTGGTCACTGAGAATTAGCATTTGGCTTAATTTCCTCATAGTTGGTCTTTTATTAAAGCTTAGTAGTCATAGAGTAATAAAACATGAAGAAATATCAAAAAATAATTGGCTTAGGCTATGAAAAACACCAGTAAAGTCAATTTTTTTAACAAAAAAGTTTTCAAGTTACAAATCAAGCGTCGTTTGTAATTAAACGGCCTACAATAACGCAAAACGTGCTGAAATAAAACATCTGGAGAATATATTTCTCTTTCTAAAACGCTGATTACCTTTTAAAATATTTTAAGCCGTTCCGTAGAAAATGCACTTATGCGGCAAAAAAGCGGTACTGGCGTGGGTGCCTACAGGCCTCTACCACACCATTCAGTGCACATAAATGGCTTAGTTATAGTGATATAACAGCATTTTTGGTACATTATATTGGTTTTATTAACGAACAAATATTAATGCAATAATTTAATTGTAAAAAAAAAATTCATTATTATTTTTTTTTAATTTAACCTCCTTTATTCTATACGTAGGTCGTTTAAGAAGACCTCAATTGTAAAAATGATATAATCATAATAATAAAACTTAATTAAAAAATACTTTGCTAAATATCTTGATTTTTTTTTTTATTTAACGTTTGCAATTTAACACTGTGTTTTGTATATTTACTGATTCTTAAAGGCAATTAAAATTTTTATATACTGCCCAGGAAATGAGTCAAATTAATACCTGTGTTATAAACTAAAATAATATATACCTAATCTGAACTATATATAATGAATAGCTACCGGGTTGTTTAGTAAAACTCATATATCACTAATTAAAAAATTAATTTTTATTTCCTTTATTGGTTGCAGAAGTTGGATTGGACTATATCATAAATAAATAGGAAATTTTAATATTGAATGAATTATGCACAAAGAAAGATAGAAAGGTTGACGCTATAAGTTCTTCTATAAACCAAAACTGATTGTTTGGATTTGGTCTTAAAATGAGGAAAAACCCGAAATTGAACCAGAAAATTGGAAAAATATATTAAGCGAACGACAAAGGAAGTGCCAAAACCTCGGAATAGATAAAAAGGACCAGTATCCATTATATAGCTAAATGAATGTATAGTAGACAGATGAACAGAATATTTCAAGATGCCGCTCAAAGGGGGTCAATTGCAGTTCGGATGATATTAAGTGGACGATATAGGTTTATTATAGTGAAAATCACTTTATTTTCGATTGCTGAAGGTGCACATCGGGACTATTTTCACTTTGAAGCAGGATGTAGAGAGGTATATCGAGAAAATTATAGCTCATAGCTCTCCTTCTGTTTAGTGCATTTGCAAAAGATTTTTTAAGGAATCTAAAAGGAAAACGAGCTTTTCTGAAAGACAAGTAGATATTAGCATAATCCAAAGTGTGAGGCACTAAGCAGATAAAGAGATATTTTTCTTTTTATATGTACTTCTTTATAATCTGCCTTGATTGCCAGAGTGATATGGATTGAGAAACTCAAGTTGCACATTGGAAGAGAAGTTGAAAATTGAGACTGTCTTCACTTTAAGGCATTGACCTTACTGGTGTTTTTCATAGCCTAAGCCAATTATTTTTTAATATTTCTTCATGTTTTATTATTCTATGACTATTAAGCTTTAATAAAAGACCAACTATGAGGAAATTAAGCCAAATGCTAATTCTCAGTGACCAAAAAATTACCTAAAGTCAAAGTCGTCAATCCGCCATCTTAGGACGCCATTTTGGGGCAGTGCGTTCACTTTTTTTGAGGGAACATTGGCTTTTTTTTAATAAATAGTGACAAGGAACACAACGATATGCAATTTATATGGATGTGGGGAGAGGGTGCGCGGTAAGGGGGTCTGGCACACCGTGTATAAGTGTTTTATTAGTTAGATTGCTCTTTATGTTGAGGGTGGAAAGAATGTAGTTTATCTTTTGTAGTAAGGTGAAGTTTTTGATACATTACAATCAATTTATAATAGGTCTATAAAATATTTTGATCAAAATGACTTTTTATTATAGGAGATAATGTTGCAAGACATCCGGTTCCAAGACACCAAGCATTGGTCCCAAGAAGCGATTTAGCCACTGGAGACAGATCTGCAAATGTACAGGAGAGGAATATTGGAGATGAAATTTAATAATTTCTTTGCAAATTGAAATGAAAGAATGCTGCAGAGTAAGTATTTATGGAGCTTTTATTACTATTATTAATTATTTGGTACTTTTCCGTTATCTGGGCTCATAAAAAAATAATGTAGAACTTCGCCAAATTTCTTACAACCACAAAGTTCTTCTAACAAAGGTTATTTCTTACACCCATATTCGTTTGTGGCCATGTGCTCTATTCTCTGAATTCATTCAAAACAAAGCACGTTTTCCTTCCATCTTAATTGTTTTTTTATTTTAAATGGTGATAATTTGGAATTTAGCTAGAACTGAAGAATATGCAGTCTCTTTTTACTTTCCTACCTATACTAGGTAAGGAAAGTATTGCAATCGGGTCCACGGGCGGATCTACAGAGGGGCGGGGGGCTTTCGGGCTGAAGCTCCCCCCAAAATGGTGAAATATAACCATGTTTTATCGAAAAAAATATTTAAAAAGTAGCTCTTAAAGTATTGTTGTTCTTGTAATTACATTTAGAAGGTCTTTAGGAATCACTTGAACACCATTTCATACAGTTAGTTAGTTTCTTTCCTTTTTTCCAAAGTAATTATCGTTATTTTTATGAAAAAAACAACTTTCGGGCTGAAGCCCCCCAAAAAATAAATCCTGAATCCGCTAGTGATCGGGTCAAATTTCCGACATGCGGTTTTCGACGGATCTATACGTTTCAGAGCCCCCTGAGTCCGAAAAACATATTTTTAGCCATTGGTCTGGCTGTCTGTGCCAAGATTTTCTCGGAAACTGCTGAATCGATTTTGTTGCTTCTTTTTTTATTTTGCAGGGTTTTGACTACTGATGCCTGTGACAGAAATTCGGTACTCCATGCCCAATAGCTTGCGCGCAGTAAATGAAAAACATGTTTTTCTATAGACTGTAGCGCAAAAACGACTCTAACGATTTTTATGAAACTTTCCTATAATGTTCTAATCATTGTTCTCTCAATTTTCGTATATAGACTAAATTCCCGAAAAAATACCGGAAAAAAAGTTATAAAGAAAAGAAAAATTTTATGGGGCCTAACTCCTTAAGTATATGTTATACGGTAAAATACCGTTTAGCCTGTTGTTTGAAAGGTAATGAAATTCCCTACAAAGCCATATAAAAATCATTCATTTTGGACAACTATTAACGAAGTTACAGCTATTCAATTTCCAATGTAACATTATGGTTTCATATCCTGGTGTCAGAAAGGGGTGAATGAGAGAATAAAGATGACTAAGTGAAAGTAAGAGTATCTGTTGCCCGCATCACACAATCTTCACTATTTCCTCTACTTTTAATAGAAATTTTTGTTTGACAATACTAGGCTATGGCAAAAAGTTTTTGATCAGCAATATTAGGAAGTATTGAAATTTTTACACTGATTCACCTTAAGCCGGTTTACATTGCTTTAGTTTATCAAATAAATCGTACTCAAATCTTATGTTTGATCAATTTTCAGGAAAATGTGTCTAGTTCAATTATTTTTGTTTCTTCATGAACATATGTAAAGATATAAAAACTTTTCTGAAATAGGTAGGAAAGTCGTGTGAGTGGACACACCAGATATTTTTTTTTTTGCCAAGAGAAATGTACATTGGCAAAGAATACAACATGCGATCAGAATCATGAAATGAAACTGTATGTTTGTGACAGAACACGTTGGCGGTGCAATCTTTCCACTAACGGATCCAGCAGGGGGAGGGGAGGCGCCCTGGGAGCTGGAAAAAAATTCCAAAAAAAGATTCCAAAAACCAGCTATTTAAAGAAAAGGGAAATATAGGGAAAATTCATCCTCATATACGATGAATATCCTAATGTAATATAAAAAAAATGATCATAAACCAATTAGGTTTTGGAAATTGACAACAAGAACTATCCAAACTTTGAAGTGTTACCTTGGAAGTGAACCTGTCTATGTCGCTATGAATCTCCTAATAGTAATTCATACATGTGACTATTTCCATTATACACTAAAACCATGTAAGGACATATATATAAGGACACTAAGCATCAACCTTTCAGTTACACAATCACTCTTTAAATAATATTTACTTATCATTACTAGCTTCAGAGCCTAAAATAATCATTTCATTGTACTCCCTGACTATAACCAAACTCATTCACCTGTGGAATGAAAATGCATCGTAGAGTACGATAAAGTTTCTCTACTTTTATATTATCTCTTTGCTTTTGTTTTCTTCTTTGGGCATTGCTTCACATGTTACCTTTATAAATTCAAGAAGGTTATGCAGTGTAAATTCACCTGAATTATGCCTATGATTTTCTGAGAATCTTCAGTTCTGTGATTAAATATATAGAGAAATCTACTTCAGAATTATGGCCCAAGATAGTTGTATTGTAGAAAAAGTGGAAGCTAGTGATTCTCCTGTTTCGCCGATCTTAAGTAAAAAAAAATCTAGCTACAACAATTTATTTACTTCATATGTGATAGGCATGGACCTGAAAATATTTTATTTTACAGTTAACTTCGATTATGGACATCATCCTGATAAGGAAACTGCAGATCTACCCTGTGACATGTACATGGATCCTAACAATTATTTAAAAAGAAATTTAGTCGTTCATAGAAATGGTCAACAATTTATTGGTAAATTAGCTCCAGAAGAGGAAACTTTGTCCCAGTCTTTGCTTCTTGTGAGAAACAGAAAAACAAACAAGGTACAATCTCATTCCTAGTTTTTTATTTAATAAACGATTAAGTTGATATAAAACTAAAATATTCAAGATGTAAGTGGAGAACTAGTTTGTTTAAATCTCTAACCCATACGTGTTTTTTTTGTTTTTTATAGTGGTATATTTTTGATATGATTTACTTTTTTAGTTCTGATATCTAAATGTTTCCTAAAGTATTATTAAAAACTCTTAGTTCATATCCATCATATCCCAGATGACCATTTAGTGGTGGGTGAACTATCTTTTCCTCATCCGTCCTGATCATAATTTTTATTCCTTTCAAGATATAGATCTATAAAATTTTACTTTTTATAATTAAATGAACTGTGGTTTTTAGAAATAACAAACATTAAGTCTCCATTCTGTCACTTTTATTTGCAGAGGAGTAGGATTTGTGCTTTGCACAGTTATTTTTAGTATTTCTTATTTTTTATTATTTTATATAAACAGTTATTCTGATATAATTATAGGCAAGGTTGGTCTTTACACAATCTTGTAAATTAATGAACATTTCTAAAGAAGAAGAAACAAGCAGAAAGAGGAAAAAAATTGAACGTTCTAAAACGTTACCTGCACTGTCACCATCTGAAAAAATTTCTGCTATAAATTTCCTTACTCAAAGATTTGGTTCCAAAAAGTCCAAAAGAGCTTCAGAACTGGGGCTACGTAATACTATTAACTTGTCAGGGAAAGAATCGGAAATAAAAGAAACAGTCTCTAGTAATTAATTTTTTTTTCTTTATCAATAGGTTATGACGTTTTAGTAATTTATTTTAATAATTCATATGTTCCTTTAGATGTTGATGTAAAAATAAATGAAATTAACACAGAAAATGATGGCAACGAAGAGTTACTGAAATTAATACCCGCCTGTAATCGTGAAGCTAAATTTGTCTCTGACTTATATGATGTGGACAATATTATTAATTCTGTTGAAAGGGAAACTCTGAAACCTCAGGCTGAATTCCTTATTAACAATGGTCTGACAGATAAAGATGAAAAGTAAAACCTTTTTAAACTAACAATTATTTTAAAAACTTATAATTAAAATATTATATATATATATTTATCTATACGTTTTTTTTTTTTTTTCAGAACTTCATTTTTCATGTTTTCACATTATACATTGTTAGATGATAAGCCAGATATTGAAAAAGTTGTATTATTGTTATATGCAAATACATTATTTAAATTTTACAATTTGTCTGCTGGAGACTTAAAAAAAAAGAATTTGCTGACACTTATTCATCCCACCTCTCGTCCTGTTGCAATGAGGGTTTTAAATGATTTTACTGTGCTCACAAAATCTGGAAGGTATGTTTTTTTTTATTAGTTAATTTTTATTTTTTTAATATTTTAGTAATACTGCGTTTTGTGCTGGTGAATTTCTTCTTTAATAATTATCTTTTAAAAAAAACTTTTTGGTAATCAGGAAAAAAATTAATTTACGCAATTCTTACTATTATAAGGATGGAACAAAATTGTCAGGATTTACAGTCAAGAGTTTTTTTAAATTAGGTTAGGTGAACTTTCTAGCCAAACATGTGGGTCATTCTTAGGGCTATCGTTTGGGAGTCAAGACAAGAACTGAGCTAAAATGGTGTCAGTCTTTTGACTGTCATTCATGAATGGTCTTGTAGGTTCCACTGAAGCATATTTGAACCATTCACTTGTTCAAATTGTAATGGTACTAGGTTGCTAGTTCTCTAATGCTGGAAGCTAATAAAGAGGCTAAAAAAAAAAGTGATTCATTTGCTCATTCCACCTAGTACAGTAGTGCAGTATCCCATATTTAGCTATTGAATCTTGAATTAAACAATTAAATACAGTGAATCCTCATAGTATGCCACGGATTTAGTTCTGCTCTCTGAGCTCTGATTTAGTTATTAAATTAAATTAAATCAATATTATGATTTTTTTTATTTCTTACACCGTAGAACAAAGAAGTATCTGTAGTAATCATGTCTCATTTAATCTATAGTTCAACCTTGATCAAGAAGCACCCTGAGGACAAATTCATGTGGCGTCCAGCTGTATTATATTAATTATATAATATAATTTATGTATGAATTTATAAATATTTTGTAAGTAATATTCGAGAATTAGAGGAAAAACATACAGTTTCAACTTGGTGCAGTATGACTTTAATCTTGGGCTGCCTACTAATCATGGTTGAACTATAAATTTTTATCAAGATCGAGGATATCCATTAAAATTAGTAAATACTTCATGTGAATTTATGTTGATATCTTTTTATTTTTACATATTTCTTTGTTATATATTTTTTCTGTTCTACCCACAGGATGTAACTATTAATAAATTGTTTATACATAAATCATCTTTATATATCTGTGGCACCTACGAAAAGCGCGTTAAGTGCAATTTTTTTGGGTATCACCAGAAACCTAATTGTTTCCTTTTGTCCGATGGGCTAAGTTATACGGCTATTACAGAGATGAACATATCTTCAGGAATCATGGACTGAAACTCGAAACTTTAACTCGTACCAGTGAAAATTCTGAAATTTCAATTGCATTTGTACCTAAATATGATTTTTGTACTTAACACGCTGTGCATAGGTGGCACAGATATATTGAACAGTATATATCATCCTATTTTACTTTTATTTGTATTTTATTGTCATTGATAACTTATAACTTTGTTTTGTTTATTGATTGTTTAGAAGCAGACCTACATTTTACAAAGACAAGCTTGTCTGCTACATTATGGTTCTTATTCTCCTGTTTGCTGACTTCAAAATCAATTTAGATACATTATCTTCGTGTTTGAAAGGGTTCGGATATAAAAAGTATGTTTTCAGTTATATATAAATACATTTTTTTTTTTTAAGTTTAAATAATTCTTGGATTTTTAAAACAGAAATAAGAAAAAAACAACTAATGACAACTAGAATTATTTAGGTATTAATACTAATAATATATTAAAAATCTCTAAAAATATTTATCTCATTTGCATAAAATGTCAATATCTTACTTCTGAAACCATTCAAGTCTATATAAAAACAAATTTTACATTAAGAAATAAAGATGTTCCTATTCGAGAATAATACAAATTTTGATTACTTTTTTGTTTGTGGAATTTCATAAAAAAAAAAAAAAATTAAAGTTGTTGAAAACATACCATTATTAAAATAAATGAGTAAGAATGTACATTTACAAGAATACGAAACTTTGGTGAATTGAACTGAGGAAGGTTATAGAAATAAGCCAAATTGGGTAGCCTGTGCTCAATAGGAATTGCACAATAAGTGAAATAATGTATTTTTCTATAGACTATACCAAAATGGCTCTAACCATTTTGATCAAACTTGTTCATCATCATCATCATCTCAGAGTCCTTGTAATTTTAATAGATTTGTTACAGAATAACTCATATAATGTATATTTCATGGCAGTTATGATCAGAATCATTTGAAAAGTAATTCGACACCCTACAGATAATGATAATAATAAATAATGATAATCTAAATTCAGCCAATATGAATATAGAACAAATGGAGGTTTTCCATGAGAACCCATTTGCTTTTTTTTCTGTGGAATAAATTGGAAATTATACATATCCTCAAATATTCAAGATACTCATTTATAAAATAATTATTAAATTACTTGCAAAGTTTAAATTTATATATATATATATATATATTTTTTTTTTTTTTTTTTTTTGGAAAAAATGGCTCCTGAAGCCGAAACGTCGAGTTAAATTTATATATATATATTTTTTTTTTTTTTTTTTTGAAAAAATGGCTCCTGAAGCCGAAACGTCGAGTAAAGAATACAGGTTATAAAAACTGTATATTTGGTAACCTTTGGCCTAAAATATATATAAAAAACTTATTTAAATTTATAGTGGTTTAAATTGTCTGAAATCAGTAGGAAAGTCATGTTTCTTAAATATTTTACATAAACCATGTATTAACATTTTTTTTTGTTTTATTTTTTTAAGATTACTTCAGCTTGCACGAGTAGTGGGCCTCGTACCTCTTGGCAGCTTTACTTCTGCTAAAACGTTTGTATTGAAAATTCCTCTGCCACCGCTCCCGAGGCCTCGTATGCCGAAAAAGAGGATGTCAACAGCTTTTTAAGAATAAATAAATCAATACAAGATACCTTTATTTTTAAAAAAGAAATACTTTATTTAAACACGAAGAACTTTTATGTAAATAACCTGAAATTATTTGTATATAAATTTTTAATATGAAAGGTTTAATTTTTTTTCCCCTCTCTATTTATCTAGATCTTCGAATTATATTTTGAAAAGTGTTATTCTCATATATTTTATCCATCATAAATTATTAAAGGAATATTTACTTTTAATTACTTCAATTCTCTAGGTCAGGGTCTCCAAACTTTTTCGCTCTCAGACCACATTGAGACCTCCACTAAGTCTTGCGAGTCATGGTTTGTGATAAATAAATGACCCTTGAATGAAATGAGTTTCTGGTTATTAATAAATGTTATTAATAAATGTTGTCGAAACCTCATGTTTGATTAATTTTGTATTTTTGAAATAGTTTTAAAATTTTACCATATAATCTAAGAACTTTCGCGGCCGGACTGGAGATGCTTGCCGTAATGCTGAGATGGGCCATAGTTTGTAGACCCCTGCTCTAGTTAAAGAAAAACAGAATTGGCCTCAAAAACGGTATTATCTGTTAACTTCATAGTAAATCATATCGAGCTGCCAAACCCATATACTTTTATATTTATTTTGATAATCTAATTATACATATTGCGACTGTTAGTACAAAAGGTCATATATAATAATTGAGTTTTTTTACTGAATAGCAAAAAACCAGATGATTTCTTTATGATTTACTAGCTTTACCCGGCCACGCCCTGCTGTGGCTTAGCCTGAAAAAATTAAAAAGAAAGAAAATAGAAGGCACATATGAGTAGATTAATAGCAAAGGACAAATGTCATTTTTAAAAAGTTGGGAAACAAATTTTTCTGTAAAATGGCTTCAATTTAAACTTTTTCTCATGATTCAAATTGAACTTCCTAATCATCAGAAACAGTCTGAGTTGAACTTATAAATCTAAATTAAAAAATTAATTTAAAAAACGTATAATAGTATTGACCTACATAAGGAGAATCATATAACTTCTTCAAATGATAATTTCAATTACTGTAGTAATTATAAAATTTTCGATTAATCAATAAACAAAAAAAAAAAATGCTTGCCGACCTTCGGTATTGAGGAAACAAAATGAAACGGCCTTTTCTGAAGAGAAAGCAGTAAATGTTTAAAAATCTATAACTCTGCAACGAACCGTCCGATTTCGATGATTTTTTTTTATTTTGTCAGCAATTCATCAATCTTTCATATAACTGTGGGTATTATCAATCAAAATCAATTGTGTAGTTTTTTAGTTATCGGCAAATAGAATATTGAATTCATCGTAACATTTTTCAGCTTGTTTTCGGAAAAGTATGTTATACACATAAATTAATAAGGTTTCAAGGGGAAGAATTTAGCCAAGTTTCGTTAAAATCGGTATAGCTGTTTTGGCGCTACAGTTTATAGCGACACATTTTTTTGCAGCTTTGAACAGAAAAACATTTACATTTTTATTTTTTTTACATATATAAAATTATCGTAAGACAGAAGTACTATACCAGAAACCTTCCCAGGAGTGTACAGAACAACTTCCCAAAGTTTCATGGTGATCGGTTGAATGGTTTAGTAGTGCACTAAGGACAAACAGACAGACATACATTCATTTATATATATATAGATTAGTATAATTTCATATTTTAATTTCCATTGTAATTTTCCATAGTAGCAGACTCCAAAATGTCATCTTTAGCAAAAGTAGAATAAACATGTAAAATTATTATATTTGACGTTTTGCACCAGTAGCTATATGTTTATTTTTTTTTTTTTTCCTGCAGGGCTCCCTTAAATAAGGAGCTAATGGTTTCTTCCCCTTGGGACTAGCCATTCTCAGAGAGGCTTTGATTTCAGATTACTCTCCTTCCCCTCATCTATTTATTTGATGAAAAATAAAATCATTCATTATGAATCTTCCAATTTGTTGGCCAATCACAAAACTTTTAAAAAATTTTTCATTCTAGGCAGGAAATTTAGGAAGTAAAATAGTACTGTGATTCTCTTAAATAATACTTTATCAAATTTATTTTTCTAACTATTGGTTAACAGAAAGCATTTCAAGAACCTTGGGCTAAACTATTTACAAAGTCTATAAAATTTTGTAGTGTCATTCCGCCTAATATGAATTTACTCTTTTCAGAAGCAGCATTCATTGCGATTGCTTGAACATCAGGTTTTGTTGATTGTATAATGTCTGGTGTTACTTCATTTATTAACTTATTCAAAGTGTTGCTGACTTCTATATTTCCTCCGAGATATTTTATGTCTATCTGTAAAAGATTATTTATTGGTATAGTACAGTTGATTAGAATATTACTTGTTTAAATGATTTATAATTGTCTTCAATTTATTATTTTAAAATCTAAAATGCTTTTAGGAACATTTATAAATGCAAAACAAAAGTTACTATTGAATACTTAATAGTTGACTGTTGTATTATTAAGGAAACAGATGGTCAGGGGTGGCGATTAAATAGTGGTAAAACTATTTTATTAAAAGCCAACGTTTCGACCCGACTTTGCATTTCTTCTTCAGGGCTAGAACGGGCAAGATACAAAAATATATAGAAAATTGTTGAAATTACATAACATTTAGGTAAAAATTACAAAAAATGTTAATTAACTTATTGAAATATAAATATTAGTACATTAAAATATTAAGAACAATAAGCTATATAAACAGAGTAAGCTAAGTAACAAGATCCTAAACTGAAGTAAATAGATGGTAACAATTGTTGTAGTATAATATATGCAATTGTGAATATACTCCTACGGATCTACAGGAGATCGGAAGAAAAGAAAAAGAAAAAAAAAAAAATATATATATATATATAATATGAAATAATGGACATAAAGAAGGGATGTGGAGAAAGAAAAGAAAAAAATAAGTAAATAAAATTAAAAGAATAAAAATAGAGACTTACAGGTGTTTGCATAAGGAATTTCATTTAGAATTGGATAACCTGGGTAAGTACCCTTGGGGAAATCTACAGACCTGGTTGGGGAAAGGTAAGGGGGTAAGTAGTAAAACTAAAACAAAACCTGGAATATTACATTATCTAAATTGAAGATATGGATGGATACAAGGGAAAATACTATATCTATGAACTAATAAATTATAAATATATACATATAGGTATAAAATAGGATTAAGAAATCATGGATAGAGGAAATGTGATAAAAACAAAAATGAAAGAAGTAAAATAAAAATAAGAGACTATACATTGCAGAACTAATTTAGAAGCATAGAGAAGAAACAAATATGAATAATTATAATTATACTTAGTTGTGCATAAGTAAGAAAATTACATTTAAATATTAGATAATATTGTTACATAATGGTTAAAAAGTAAAATGAATACAAAGTAAAAACGGATGATCGCACATTAATGTAGAATGTTTAAAATTAAAAGAGAGATCATACAAAGCAGAAATACCTAAAAATAATGAATGATTAAATTAAATTAATAAAAAAAAAATTGAAAATACATAAAAAATAATAAGATGTAGGAAATAAGTTATTTTTCACAAATAGGATTTAAAATGTGCCTATATGTTAAATAAATGCAGTTTTTATCTACTTTATGATTAAGAGGATTCTGTTCCATGTGAATGTGGATGAATTCGGGAATGAGTCTTTTTTCATGGTTAGGGACCGTGGCAAGAATGGAGATTTTTTTCCCAACCAGGTCTGTAGATTTCCCCAAGGGTACTTACCCAGGTTATCCAATTCTAAATGAAATTCCTTGCTGCACACACCTGTAAGTCTCTATTTTTATTCTTTTAATTTTATTTACTTATTTTTTTCTTTTCTTTCTCCACATCCCTTCTTTATGTCCATTATTTCATTTATATATATATATATATATATATATATATTTTTTTTTTTTTTTTTTTTTTTTAATCAATGATGTGAGGTAAGATTCTAATAGTTGGAGTGAGGGTTCGAAGTATTATATATATATATATATATATATATTCCTTTTCTTCCAATCTCTCCTGTAGATCTGTAGGAGTATATTCACAATTGCCTATATTATATTATATATTATACTACAACAATTGTTATCATCTATTTACTTCAGTTTAGGATCTTGTTACTTAGCTTACTCTGTTTATATAGCTTATTGTTCTTAATACTTCAATGTACTTACTGTTTATAATTTCAATAAGTTAATTCACATTGTTTGTAATTTTTACCTAAAGGTTATGTAATTTCCACAGTTCTCTATATATCTTTGTATCTTGTCAGTTCTAGCCCTGAAGAAGACCTACAAAGTCGGATCGAAACGTTGGCTTTTAATAAAATAGTTTTGTCAATATTTAGTCTATTTATGACCGCCACCCTAGACCATCTCCTTCCTTAAAAGTTACTATTATAAATAAGTGCCTCGTATTCTTAATAAATTTTTTCACATTAAAAAAGTCAAGAAATTGATAAGATATTTTATAATAGACTTATAGACTGAATTACATACCATTTCTTTGTCTGTAATCAATGGTTAATTATCAGCGATCAGTTACTTAAATATAAAATATAAATTAAAAAGCACAAAGTTTTCATTATAAATCTTACTTTCACAGTCATATTGTAGTCTACAATGAGATTTTCCAGTTGGAGTGTTTGTTCCTCAGTGAAATTGAGCTTAAAGTATATACTCGCAGCCATGTCTCCGATATCAATGCTGTTAAAAGTTTTATCATCATTTTTTTAAAATAATGGTGTTTATTAATTTATATTGATATAGTTAATATTACCTGAATTTATCTGAACTTTCCATGTGGACATAGTCATTGTCCAAGAATAAGCTGTATTTGCCATCTATACTTAATGAAGTATAGCTCACTCCACTGAAGAACTCTAATGTTGACATATTGACATGCGCCATGTCTATCGAAAAGCTACTTGGATCAGTTAGAGATCCATCACTAATAGAACCATTTAGAAAACTGAAAGAAATTTTAATTTTTGTGAAATGTATTATTATTGTCAATATGAAAGTGAGCGAATGTCTTTAATAACCGACCGTTGATGTGGCTGTGATGAGGGCCCATATTACAATAGTCACCTTCAAGCTATAAACATTTAAGTATTTTAAACGATTTGTACATTTATTAATATTTTTACATTCCTTTGATTCCCAATGGAGGAAAGGCATCCACGAGTGCTTTCCATTTAGCTCTATCAGCAGCAATAATCCCGGCCACATTCCATGATTTGCCAACCCAGCCTAATTTACTTACCTGAATCACGTCTCTCTTGGTCTGCCTTTTCTTCTTTTTCCCTAAGGGTTCCATTGTAGCGCTGCTTTTTCTATTGCATCATCTTTTTTCCTCAGGGTGTGCCTTACCCATTTCCATTTTTGCTTCTTTTCTTCCAAATTGGTTAGTGATTTTCCTTAATCCTTCATTTGATATTCGCTCTGGTCACCAAATTTCCAGTATTCTACGCAGGCATCGGTTAACAAAGGTTTGTAACAGACAGATGTTGCTTTCCGTGTCTCTCGGCTAAAGCAGGACCAATTTTACATTTGAATTGAAAATTTGTATTTTCGTGTTTTTTTATAGGTTTCTGTCCCACCATCCTGGGTATAGCTGAACAAAACCCTATTATTATTCTTTATATGGCTTTTCACATGTTCTTTTGAGACTATGCTGCTCAAGTAGCCAAAGAAGTCAACCTGTTCCACGGAAGCCCATCAGAAGAGGCTCCTGGCATCACTCATTCCTTCCACATCTCTTCTGTCTTGCCTACATTGATCATCTGCAAAGTCAAGATCCTCAAGTCTCCCTCACTGACCACTGAATGATGCGTCTTCCTCCTCCAAGCATTGCTTTCATAATACACTCAAGAACAATAATGAATAAAGCTGGTAATAGCACGCACATCTACTTCACCCCAGTTAATATCCTGATTGGGTTATAGAGTATCCCTTCATGGAAGATTTAGCACTCAAACCCATTATATTGGCTCCTCATAAGATTAACAATCTTGCTAAGGAGCCCTTATCATATAACAGGGTTGATATCTATAAATGAATCTTATCTAATATATCTAAAATCTATAAATGAAAGATAAAGAGAACTCTGCCATTTGACACTTTGCTCCTGGATTATCCAAAGAGTAGAACAATTTGTACATAATTTCTTATATTTTTTTCTTCACTTTATACCTATTGGTCTACAGTTCATTAAGAGATTTATTTATAATTTAAATAAATAACAAGTAATTATTATTTTCTTAAATTGATTTTAATAGAAGATTCTTGGAGACCAAAATATATTTCTTAATAAAATTCTTGATACTCATGTGTAATATGATTTCATTGATTTTTAGAATTAAGAACAACCATCAGGAAAAAAATTAAGGCAAATTTTCACTTCTGGACCATTTAATTATTAACGGTAAATATTTTTTTTTTAAATATGATCGATTTTTAGGTTGGTGAAAAGCTGAATTTATTCTTATCAAACTTGATAAAAAGAAATTCAGCAAAGGATATGAATGTAGCATCCATTGGCCCAATGAAAAGCCTTGTTTATCTTCTTGTGAATCACTGACACACATTTCTCTTTTATCTTTTTTTGTTTGTTGATTGTAACATCTGATTCGTCAGCGTATTGCCATAATGGAAAACACAAATTTACATTTACGCATGTGAAAATTTTTTTTTCATTAATTACAAAAAGGTCCAGTAAGACCAGGGTACATAATATTTTATTTTATACAATTGATTAATCAAATTGTAACTTTCATACAACCTTCATCAATGGATTGGGAAAAAATTAAAGTGTTTTCTGGAAAAAGGGTCTATATTGGTACTATGGGTCCTCATTTTAGCCACATCCACAATTTTAATCTTTTGAAGATATTAGATATAATATTAAATATAGAGGATTATATTTATCTGCAATTGAAGTTTTCTTTACTACATTTTACCACAACCTCAGTTTACAACTATGGAACATGAAGTCCACCTTAATTACCATTAATGAATTACAAAAGTTCATTTTCCATACATGAACAAGCAAGGATTTTACTAACTTAAAATAAAAACCCTGTCATGGATCACTTTAATAAACAGAAGAGCTATGATATTATGTGCTATTATTCTTATAGGTGAAGTAATAGCATCTTGAAAGTGTGTTAATTATTTGAAGTTATATGTTCCACAGTTTAGATTATTCTATGGTTCTCATCACATAAATAATTATTTGTTCAATAAGTTTAAGTTTATTATAATTACTTAATAATACATTTGTGATTGGTTGATAAACAGATGTTGATCTGGTATAGCAAAGTTGTGGCCAACCATCTTCTGAAAATTTGCTAATACCATTTTCAAAGTGTTATCTGTTATCGTCTTGTCTTCATACTCTGCTGAAATCCCTGTAATTAAAATTAAGTATTATAATATTCTAATTGATTAATTTAAAATATTATCTGTATCTACTTTTCTGTAAAAAAAATACAAATATTGAAACAATTGATTAAAGATAAATATATTTAACCAATAAAATGTAAACATATTGGTCCATATATGATTGAACATAAATGAACTTCATTTATTTAAAATTAATTAAATTATTTATTATTAGATGTAATAATCTTGAATTGTTGACAATAAAAAAACTATTTATAAAATATTTTTAACTGAAGTCAATAATGATGTAAAAAAACCTGTACCACTACAACCCATGAAGGGTCTTGGGTTCAGTACTAATTAGGGAAAGCACTGTTTCTAGGTCAACGGTTGTGCAAGGAGGGGATTTGACCGAGATCACGCTCAACCGCCAGGTTTTCCCCCTTAATCAATTATTTAATTAAGTGTACCCACTTTATAGAGGCTGGGTGTGCCCCAGGGTCGCCCCACGGCCAATGGAACAGATAAATAAATTTTCTGCCAAGAGCCGGGATTCAAACCTGGGGCCTTTAGCATTGGAAGCTCAGTACCCTACCACTGAGCTACTCCACTCCCCAATAATGATGTAACATGTATTAATACTTGGTCTTATAGTAAAACAAGTAAGTGGTCTGGGTTGTAGTTAATAAAAACTAAAAAAAAAAGTAGAAACAAAATCGAACTTGTTATTGCAGAAACAAAAAAGATTTTGAGAAAAAACAAAATATAGTTTCTTAAATTAATTATATCTATTAGGGCAGTGATTTAAAAGTTGTAGCATTATTTCTGAAATAAAGTATTTATATTTCATAAAATTTGGAAAGAAAAAAAAAATATTAATACATTGATTTGACACAAAACCAGGGGATGTCAGAAATTTATAAATTTGTTTTAGGACTCTTGAAATATAAAACTTCAAATTTTGAGGTGTTAAAAATTTTTTTTTTGTTTGGCTTTAAGACTGGTAAAAGCAAGTCCTATTTTGTTAGGTCTATTTTATGGTGACAAAAAAATGTTCTTTTTTAATTTACCTTCATTTTTACAGAAAAGTGAAGGTAAATAAAATAAAGCTAAATAAATTATATTTCAGTTAAAGAATAATGATTTATGCTTGTTATGATCATCTTATTTATAATAGTTAAATCTTATAAGATGCACAAGTTAAAACAAAATAGAAATATTATTAGTTGTCATATTTTGTGTTTAAAAAAGACACACGCTAAAAGATAATCATAATTAATACCAAAAAGGATTATTTGATATAAATAAAAATATTGGATTATCATAAAACTTTAAAAAATAAGTTTCATTGATTATTTAAAGAGGCTACAATATTAAAAAATATATAACAATTAAAACAAAGCAAGGTTTAATTGCTTTGACAAAATTATCATTCGACTTAAAATAAAATAAACCGAATCACATCTTAAAAGGAATATGAATTAAAATAGACTTCCATTTGCGAGGATAAATTTTAAATATAAGAGAAAATTCCATTTAAGTTGAAACTCTCCAAAACAGGTTAAATTCAGTTAGAAACGGTTCAAATATATTCAAAAATTAAATAAAATACTTTACCTTCAATGCCTGATAAAAGTACTAACAGTTCCAAGAAAATGAAAGAATTGAGTGATATAGAAAGAGATTTCATGGTTCCAGGTAGACAATTCTAATGCATGAAAATGTCTGTATTTCTTAAAAATTAAATCAAGCATTTTGAGATTAGATAAAAACAAAAGATCAATCACACTTATAAGCAGGCTTGCTTGGACCAAGTTTACTCAAGAATTAAAAGATATCAATCATCTATTCATTTATTAAAATAAAATTTATATTTACTAACATTTCATAATGATCATAATTTATTTCTTAATATGCTTTAACAAATTTACAGTTTTTTGCAACATAAATTTTACAAACGAACTATACAGCATTTAATGGAATTTAATATTTGAATTCTTTCTAAAATGTTTTTTTTTTTTCACATAGAAATACACAGACTCATGAGACTTGTTGACAGCTAATATTTGTAATATTTCAATATTGTAAGGCCACGATTCCACAAAAAAGATTCATAGAAATCAGTAAGACACATATGGGATCCTTTGTTATAAATAAAGAAAACTAAATAACAAAAACCATTTGGTTTATTAACATTTATAAAATAACATAAAAATATCTTCAGTCATTGTGTTGTTTAAATTTTTTCAACACTAAAAATTAAAAATTCCTTCAGTCGGTAATGAATTGATTAAATCTTTAAAATATCCATTTATATATAATAAATATCGATTAAAATAATTATTTAACAGCTTTATCCAACTTTTGTTTCCTGCAAAAAGATGAAATAAATAAACAGATTAAAAATAAAATTGAAATTAATTTAACATCTTTCAAAAACCATGAATATAATAAACCTTTTCTGGTGTGTTTTCTTAACTGGAGATTCTGCCAAGTTTAATGCCTTCTTTGGCCTTAGAGCTTTCTTTGAATCTGCAATAAAAGCCGATTAAAAAAAAAAAAATAGAAAAATACTTGAATATTATTTTGCTTAAACATTAAAGATTAACTAGGGAAGACAAAGGAACCATTGCGCAATGTGAATCTAAATTGTGTTGGTTAACAAAAATCTATCACTTTCTTTCAAAGATATTTATTAAAGTTAATCAACCTTAATTTAACCATACTTAACAAGCATAACAAAACACTGACTACAAAATTTTACTTGTATTTAATAACAAAATACAGTAAATAATTACCGAACTATCACATAGTAACAAAAGGGGCAATGTATTTAGGTTTACTGTTTGTAGGTATGTAACAATTTTTTGAGCGAGTTGGGCAACCGGTTTTTAAATTTGTTGGGTTAAAATATTGGGTGAGATGCCATAAGTGTTTTGAAACAATTTGAGCTCAAAATATTTAAAGTATTCTTAAATGTTATTGATTATATATCATATCTGTGTAAGTTCAAGATCGAATGTGATGAATATAAATGCGATTCTTTGAAAAACTAAAAACGTTAAAGTAAAAAATAGAGTGTCCCAATCATTCTAAACATAGTAAGAAATAATTTAATTTAAAAAAAACAAACACCGACTACAGAAATAAATCAGTTTTTGAAAAGTTGATGTTTATAGATATTGAAACTTCACTACGAACTACAGTTTCTGAGCATGTTTACAGAAATGTGATAAATGTGTTCTGAATTTATATTTGCTATAATTTTCAGAAGCATAAATTGATTGATGAGAGGGGGAGGGGAGTTTTGTATAGTCATGGATTCGCCCTTACAGTAAATTTTTAAAAATTCAAAGTTATACTTAAAGTTTTACTTTCACTTAATTATATATGAAATATATAATAAAGGAAAGTATTGCAATCGTGAAAATTTTCGAATCTCAGTTTTCAATGGAAATACACGTTTTGAGGTCCCTTGAGTCCAAATAATCAAGTCCTGCAAAATGGTCTGTGTGTTAACAGTCTAGCTCAAAAACGAAAAGTCGCATAAAAGTGAAATTGCATATTTAAGGTTTTTATATGCTATGTTACAGCATGTTTTTCGTTAAAATCGGCTAACCGGAAATGGCACTTTATATATTGGACTAAATACATTTTTATGATTTTCCCGAAAACGGCTCTAACGATTTTGATTAAATTCACCATATCAGTGTAAAATTAAAATTTTTTTAAATAAAATGTAGTTTTTATTCTGATTGATTTTCTCTGACAGGGCTTAAATGGCTAATTTTCAATGTCAGCTTTCCCTAAATTACCTTTAATTTTTTTTATTTGAAAAAATTGACCATTTCACATTAATCTCTAATATAAAAGACAGCTAAATATAAAATACGAAAGAATTTGATAATTAACTAAAAGAGAAATATGAAATCGTAACAGAGAACAGTTGTAATTGATGAACCAAAGGAATACGAGTGCACCTGAGCTCGCCCGAAAGATTAGAACACGCTTCCATACCTAACATGAGCTTAATTTAATAAGGACTCCGACAATATTATATGAATATACATATGTGGTTTTCATAAATGCTGTTGTTGGTATTATTTAATATGTAATTGTATATATAAGGGTACTTATACAAATAAAAATATCCACAATGAAATATAAATAAATATAGTGTCTATAATTTTTACTTTCACTTTCACTTTGTCTGAAAATATCTTTTTCTGCTAAGAAGAGAGTGGTAAGTGAAAGTTGTGTAATGCGCGCACCACACCACATTTTTTTTAATAAGTTTTAAGAACAAAAATATATTATTTATACAATTGTTAAAAATTGTAATCCATAAGCATATAAAAGTTAGATGTGACCAAGTAAACATAATAATAATGGATAAATAAAAATTTTTTTTTTATCTAATAAATACAATGATAAGTAAGTTTTTTTTTTAAATTAACTACTTTATATATTTTCTTACCTTCTGATGATTTTCTCCCTGGAGTTACATGCTTAGAACTAAAACCAAATAAAAATGATTCCAATTATATGAGACCTTCGCATAAATTTATTAAAACAAATATTAGGTAACAACGTAGTAAAAGGATATTTATTCATAAAATTTAGAGTAGATAGCTGGGACCAGAGTTAATAAATTCTGGAATTTAATATATTAAATTTGAGGGTTTATTAACTACATCTACTACAAAAAATAAATTTATTTTTAACATAAAATAACTTTATATTGATAATATTTAATGGCTACAATAACCACAGCCAGAGAAGGCATTGAATAAAAATTAATTAAAATAACATACAATTATATAATTTATTTTACCTATTTACTGAGTTTCTATCAGCAGTTCTTGATAATTTTTTAATCTCACTTCTCTTTTCTTAAAAAAAAAAATGTATATGTCACAAATTGCAATATAAAGATAAATATTGAAATAAAATGTCTAAATCAGGTACTTCTTACTTACCTAGTGTTGATTTACTGTCGGTGTCTAAGGTAGATTTTTTAGAGCTGAAAACGAAATTATAAAAATATATATTTTTCAAAACATAACTGCATATAATCCCTAAAATTTTAAGAAAGTAATCTCTTACTGAAATATATGACCTGAAGGTCACAAGTAAAGAAACAATCTTTAGATGACCTTTGTTTGTAGTAAAGTACTAAATTTATTTGTTCATAATTTGATTCTCAACATTTAAGATTGATTTATGTAAATTGAAAAGAGATATAGAATTACAGATTTCATTCTGATGATTGCTAACTTAAATTATTTATTTTATTTTATAACTTCTTCAATATACATCTAACAATGAGAAGAATTTGGATAGTCTATAATACCTCAACAAAACACAATTCAAGAAACCTATATGGAAAATTAAATTCATGAATTGTTTTGTTTGTTTCTATGTCTCATTATTAATTAGAGTTGAAACTGGAATATTATTCAATTTACCATTCTTTAGGGAAGAGAAATTTCGCTGCTAATTGTAAAAAGTATTGTATAGGCCCCGTCTAAAAACGTTTTTGTGGAGGTATTTATTAATCTAGCGCTAGAATTAATTAATATTTAATTATTTAAGTAACAGAAATTAATAAAATTAAGTTGAACATATATATAAAAGCCGATATATATAAAGCCGACACACACACACACACATATATATATATATATATATATATATATATATATATATATATATATATATATATATATATATATATACATATATATGTGTGTGTGTGTAAAGAAGTTTGAGGTTCAAACGAATCCCCACCTAAATTATTCAAGATAAACATTTAACGCATGATGTTATATAAAAATAACCATATGGTACAGTTTGGAATTGGATCAAATATTAAATGTTTATTGTAGTGTTTCATTGTACTAAAGATTATAAAAACTGATTGTGGAGTCTAAAAACGTTTTTGTGGAGGTATTTATTAATCTAGCGCTAGAATTAATTAATATTTAATTATTTAAGTAACGAAAATTAATAAAATTAAGTTGAACATGTATATATATGTGTGTGTGTAAAGAAGTTTGAGGTTCAAACGAATCCCCACCTAAATTATTCAAGATAAAAATTTAACGCATGATGTTATATAAAAATAACCATATGGTACGGTTTGGAATTGGATCAAATATGAAATGTTTATTGTAGTGTTTCATTGTACTAAAGATTATAAAAACTGATTTATAATCTTGTTTAGTGTTAACTCTGGATACACTTCAGACTTCTTTTGCTTCTACAAGACAAAATCTTTATTAATAACAATTTAAGATTAAATAATACATCAAAAATTAAAACTTTACCTACCCACAAAACAAAATCAGTTTTTATAATCTTTAGTACAGTGAAACACTACACTTAACACTTAATAATTTGATCTAATTGCAAACTGTATCATGGTTATTTTTATATAACATCACATGTGTTAAATAAATTAAATGTTTAATTTAAATAACTTAAGGGTGGGGATTCATTAGAACTTGAAGCATCTAATCTGTGGGCCAGAATCCCCCCCACCCCTTCTCCACATCCCTATAAATGATTTTCTAATGCCATTAGAAAAAAAAAGATACTTCAATGTGACAAGCAGATATACAAGAGAGAACTTGATAAATTAAAATTTTGATCATTTTATCTAATTTATAATAATAATTTTTAACACTTATTTTTGATCCCTAATTTTAACTAATATCCACTATTATTCACTTCAGATACCACTCAAGGTGAGAAGAAAGGATGTAGCTGATATTTCATATAACTGGCATTTATCAAGTTCAATGTCCTATCATACATCTTTAGCGCTCTAGTTTGAATTTAAAGTTTGTATAGCAATGAAAATAAAAAAAAATTGTTTATTGATAAAGTACCTTTGAGCTTCCTTTGTTTCCAATATTAAGGACATTTCCATGTTACTTCCATCCCTGGCATTACCGCCTGAAATCACATACTGATCATTATTTTACACATTTTAATATATACATTGTTATTAAGTAAAGAAGGATGGACTACAACAGAATTGGAATGTTGTTCAACTGTGGTGAGATGCTAATTGAAATAGTATACTTATCAATTTATTAGATAATATTAGAAAAAAATACTGAAAGGAGATCATTATTTTTTTAAAGTGGTAAGATGCACTACGGCCAAATTAGGCCTTTTTTGCACCATAGTTATCAGCTTTTACAATAAAAATATTATTTTTGCAGTATTAGGAAACTGTATAAGACTTATATTGACAAGCTCACAGTTCTTTGGATCAGGTAATCTATCATTCCTGAACAACAATAGCCTAATCCCTGCGAACCTGTCAAAACAACAATAATAAGCAGTTTCATCCTCTAGATTGTAGAACCTAAAAACTATATTAGCCCTAGGTCCAAATTTGAACATATGATAATTCAATTTGTTGTGAGCCGTACACATCGCTGTAATTTTGCTAACAGAAACCCTAATCAAGTAAATCAGCATATTGCTTCTCCTTGCAGAGGGTGAATCCGTTTCTTAGAGTGCCAACATTGCTTAGCTTTTTCACCATAAATTTCCACGATTTACCTTTTGACATAGCTCATTCTATAAAGGGGGGCACTAAGTCTTTAGTAAAAAATATGGACTGAAAATGAAAGTGGGAAAAACTAAAATAATGACAAACTCTGCTGAAATTCAAATCTATGTAGACAATAAACAGGTAGAATACGTAAAAGAATACATTTATTTGGGTCAAACAATAACATTCAATGAAAAAACGAGTAGAGATCGACAGAAGGACAAAGCTTGGATGGTACAAATATTGGTCCCTCAAAATGATTTTTTAAAAGCAATATAGCGATAAATCTTAAAGCCAAAGTTTTGACTACTTGTGTTTATCCTACAATTCTCTACGTGGCACAAACTTGGACATTGACAAGGAAACTTGAGCTCAGGTTGAATGTTACGCAGATGAAGCTTTTAAGGAGTTTAATGTCAATCAAGAAGAGAGAAAAAACAAGAAATAAAGACATTCTCCAAAAAAGTGAATATTAAAAGCTTTAGGACTGAAGCTCATCGGTTAAAGTGAAACTGGACTGGACAAATGGCAAGGTTGAAGGATCAAAGATGGTCCAAAGCATGTACCGATTGGATCCCAAGAGAGAACAGCAGGAAAAGAACCCGGTCGCATCTGAGGTGGAGGGATGAAATAGTAGAGCATGTAGGCGAAAACTGGTGGCTTGGATAGATACAGATGAAAACAAGTAATAAACAATATTTAGTCGCTGTGTTTTATTTTATTGTATTCCAAGACTGTTCTGTTTACTATATGGCTTTGTTTTGTTTTGTTTTTCTTAGGCCTTACATGGTTATTTTATTTTTTAAAAAATCATATTTGATCTGTTTTATTTTAAACATAAAAAAAAAAAAAAAGAAATTGTAATAATTTAAACATAATTTTCTGTGCTATAGCCAACTCCATTAAAATTCCTTCTTAGGGAGAGGCTTTTGTCAATAATTGTTGGCAATAAAGCTTATTATTATTATTAATCAGGATTAATATAAATGACACCTTTAACATAACAATTTTATCAGAAAAAATATAAAGGGTTTTCCACCATGAATTAATTATGATCAAAAGCTTTTACATTAGAGCTTTCATTCCAGAGCCTTTTAAACTTAATTTTCCTTTAGTTGATATAATAAATCAAAGGCATATAATCTACATTTTATATGGTCACATACAGGATAATTGATTATCAAATCTAGAGAAAATTTCCAAGCAATTTTTTATATTGAAATTCAATTTCAAAATCGGTTTTTAAGTATTATAATTATTACAGGGTAGTATTATAGGTTGTTGTATTATAATAATTAAAGAACATATTAATTTTTATTTTCAAAACTATTAAGTTATTAGATAATAAGGTAAAAATTTAAAATCCTTACTACAATAATTTTATCAATCCTTTAATAACTATGCAAGAGTAAAAAAAATTGTAAGAACAAGAAAAAGTACAACCTGCAGCGACGGTTTTCACGCCATGACGAATGTCTGAGCAGGTTTTTCCTATTATACTGTAAATAAATAAACATTAACTTTGGGGAATTTTGAACAAAAAATAAATAATTTTAAGGATTACTTAAGCCTACCTCTCTTCTTGCTGAGATATTTCCGATGCCAGGCCACTATTATTTTCATCTGTAATTAGATATTAAAAATTATCAAAGAAAAAATAATTTAATAAAATAGACTTCAAATGTGCTAATTATCATCCATCCAAAATAATTCTTGAGTAGACATGTGGCAATTGAATCAACATCTTACTTTTGACTGGTGCTTCTGATTCAATTAACAAATAATTAACCAATCAAGATCTTTTCAATTTTCTATTATAGTGTGGTATTGAACTGTAATGCGGCATTATTCAGATTTTTTTTACAACTTATGTTTTATAACAACTTGATGGCATTCTTTCAAGACAATAAAGAAATAAATATTGAACGATGATATTCCATAGTTACATTTTGAATGCAAATGATGGTACTGTATTCCAGTAGACGTGATCATTTAACTAAGAAATGATATAATTTTTATGATTTCACATTAAATTGACAAATCTTTTAAAACATTACATCGACACAATATTTTATGTAATATTCTATATTACATCGATACAAGATCCTAAATTATAGTAACTAATTGATGTAAAATGATGGAAAGAAACTTTCTTTCAGAGGCCATAAGTTTCAACAAAAACAAATATTTAACTGTATTTGATAAATAATACTTACGGTTTATAGTTAAATTATTTTTGAGAAATGAATCACTTCTGATCGTGATAATGTTGCTTTGCTCCGGATCACTAAAAGTTAAAAATGTTTATTATATCTTTAAAAACAATACAATTAATGAAATGTGGTATGTAAGTACATGCACAAAAACGGGAAGAGCTATTAAAAAATCTGTAGAATTAAAAAATATTCTTACTTTTTCAAAGAATTTGTTGAAACCCTGGGAGATAAATTTTCTTTTTCAATGTTTGTACCTACAGAAAATTGAATATTATAAACAAAAAATACAGGTTAAAGAGATATCATTATTGAAAAAAAAGAAAGTAAATTTTACTATTAAAATATATACTATAATAATATACTCATAATAGTCCTCTTGTAGATAGGTCTTCTCTTAATTTAGGTTATAATAAGGAATAAATTAAAATAAATAACTAAAATATACCAAATGGCTGTATGGTGACAACTTAAGTAAATCAAACAATTTTATATAACTCTGTAGTTTTTTTTATTTCGTTATACAAATGAATAACTTTGTTTTATGTGATTTTTTATTGCTTTATCCCTCAAAAAGAAATTTTATGATTTATGTCACAACATTTATCCTGTACCTAGCCGACAGGCATCCACCAACCTCCTCCCTAAGTTTGCGGTGGGGGCATGGTGCTGTAGCGCCTCCTCTTTTTGGACTTTATAAAAAGCCCAAAAGCCGAGAGTGGTCACTCGTCCAGGGCAAGCCCCTGTGGTTCCATTACCCACGGTAGTATGGGGGTACCATAGGAAAGGGCCACTTTCAGACCAGGGAAAAACTTTATACAGGTAATTTAAACATCCACAAGCAAATAAAAAACAGAATTAACTCGGGTCACTAGTGATGTTAGAACAGATCATTTAAAATCACGTTTCCTACTGCTTGCATATAGCCTCATAGGTGAATCTCTTACAGTGTGTATAATCTTGTTCACTGTTATTTCTCTAGATTAGTACACAGCACATGACTTTTCCTCATCTTCGGTCAGTTTTTATTAACAAACACTAAAAACTTAGTGTGTTTGTAATTCATGTTTAGATGGGACCATGAGAAATCTTTTTTTTCCGCGTGAATGTGATTATTGTTTTTCAAAATAACTGAAAAGCTGAACTAAAAGACTATATTTCAATTAATATTAACCTTTTAGCAGCGATGAATGGTGGAAATATCTTGAGAACGGAATATTTTCTTCACTTACATATTATTGAAACTGCTTTTATTACAGTATGAACTGTGATCAGACATGTACTTTGAGGCAATATTGCACAAGAATACAGCACAACATTTGTAAAAAATTGATGTGAGTACAGAGGTGCAGTAGCTGTCCACTGTCAAGTCAGCAACTTGCACTATGCAGAGTACTTTTCACCTCTAATCAAAACATTAAAAAAAAAAAAAATTTAAAAAACCCTTCTACATTTCCGTTAATTAGTAATTAATTTTCAGGAATTTGTTACCTAATATATAAAATATTACTTTTTTTAAGTTAAACTATGATGATTATAGCTTGAAATAATGTTTTAATAATGGGCCAACATATTTCAAGTTGAAGATATTTTTCAATAATAAATCAGCAATTTTTAATTTATAATCACAAAAATATAATGCAAATTGCTTACTATTTTGTTCCCCACTGCTTTCCTCTACAGCACTTCCAAGTGAGGAACTAAACAAAGGCAGAAATAAAAATTAATTTAAAACAAGTTTTATCAAAACCATTGATTCTCATTACATGTTAATTTAACTTTTAAAAATTCTAGACATTCTAAAAAAAAAGTGACTTAACTGCCAAGTATAGGTAATATATAATCACAATTATAAGAAAAAACTCATATTAAACAAAACTATGAAGCAGGTCATGTCATATGTACAATCAATTTTTCAAACTAAGATGAATAAAATACTAATCAATATATTATAAGTTCACTTATATAAAAATATTGTTAGTTTATTATGAAAAGTCATTAAGCAACATTTCATAAAATTAAATGACCAAGTACACTTGGTGTTCTTAGTGTAACTATATTTGATATATATAAAAGAATTGATATAATTTTCACTAACTGTTTCTTTTTTGTATCCATAAAAAAGGTTAAAATTCATAAAGACGTACTTAAAAGTTTACCTTCATCAAAAATGAGTCTATTTAAAATTTAGCAAGTTGTTATGTATTTTTAGTTTGTTATAATTGCTTTCCTTTTATCTGTGGAATTTAAAATCAACCCCAAAGTAAAAATAATATGAAACTTTATGCACTGCAATATTGCATACATTTTGAAAATGACCCAATCCTTACCGACACTCCCCAATCTTCCTGAACAATTCAGCTATCTCATTCCATACTTCCATAAAAAATCTTACCTTTGATTAAAACCCTCTCCTGGAAACCACAAATTTCCCGTCGTACTATCTCCAGCCTGAAACAGTTTAACCGTTTCCTCTATCTCTTTCCATATAAATCCCGTCAATTCCTAGTTTCCTCTCTTGTGTTTCCCCACTTCGACTATAGCTGTCTGGTGTACGGTGAACTTCCGGGAGAATTCGAGGCCAAACTTAAACACCTAATGAATTATGCAATACATTTTTTTGTTTTCGGAATCTCAAGAGATACGCATATAATTCAGTATTACACCAAGTTGAAGTGGCTCTATCCATCCAACCACCATCTGTACTTTCTTGCTACCTTTCTATACCAAGCCATCAGAACTCAGCGACCTTCCTAATTTTTTAATAGCCTACAATTTAAATATTCCATTCAATCCCATACTTCCGACTTCTATCCATCTCCTCCTTGTGTTTGATAAATCCTTTGTATTTCATGCCATCTCTCCTTTATAATTCAAGCAGTCTCCTTCTGGAATACCATCCCTCCCGATATCCAACATGGACAATCAGTTTCCTACTTTAAATCTCTCCTTTTTAAGCACCTACTCCTTTCTCAATCCGATTGATCACGAAATGTACATAAGAGAACTTTTGAAGTTCTCCAGAAATGATTTTGTTTACTTATGTTATTTTATTTTCCCGTGTTTGTTTTATTTACATATCTGCATGTTTCTAGTGTTTTTGTTTTTTTCTTCTTGCAATATTTTAATTTTAATGAAATTTGAAAATATTTAAATTAATGTATGGCCAGACACGTATTTTTTCTGTATCTATAATTTGTCCTAAAGAGACAACAGTCTCAGAATAATAAAAAAATATTTTCATTTCAATACATTCAAAATATAAATGAAATATCTTCATAAAAATATAAATGCTTAAGTTAATCTTGCTTCATAATTTATATATATATATATTTTTTTTTCTAGCCTGTTATTACAAGTATATTACAACCTGTAGACCTCTCCAAATTAAGAGGGTAATGGTCTAACTTCCCACGGGGACCAGTTGTAGAGGGAAGTAGGGGATTCGATCCTATGATCTTTAGTTTACTGGTATAGCGCACTAACCACTCTTCTATACCGGCCCCCATAATTTATATAATGTTATATAAATAAATAGTAATATTTAATAATTGAATAAAATATGAATTATTTGAGAGTAAAACTAATCTGAAACAATAACATAAGAGGAAGACATATTATAATTCAACAAGTTATAAAATATCTACTGAAAGCTCATGTAAAATTCTATTTTACATACGAACGAATATGCCAAGTTGGGTCTCCCATCGACTTATTAGGTTTACATGGAGTGACTGACTGGTGGAACAGCTGGCCAATATCTCTTTTAAAATTATAAAATAAATAAAAAGTATGGTGATCAAATGGCTTTATACTTGTAAACAAAATATATAAACTATGATCTGTACACAATTAAAAACAGAAATATATATCAAGATATAATTCTAGAAACATCATGTTTTAACTATCATTTTGTAAGGTCCCACTCCTATCTGATTTTTTCCTGACTTATGACCAGTCTTTAGAAGGATGCATTGACTTCAGAAGAATTGAATTGAATAAGAAAGCATTAAGTTTCATATACATACCTACTTCTATTATTTATCATTCTCCTTCTCGGGAATACATTAACAAAAAGAGTAGAGCGGAAGTCTTTTTGATCTGTTTCATTTAAGGTACTTTCATCATTTTCATTTAAAATATTTTCCTCTTTTTCATTTAAAGTATTATCACTATCAGATGGCGGAACAATCTCAATGATTGGAATGGGAGATAAACCATCATTTTCCTAGAAAAAAAAAAAAGTAGTATGATAGATTACCATATCAGTATGAAGAAGGTGTTGGTGGCCCATATTGAACAGCACCTCCACCCTCATCATATAGCTTCATCCCCAACAGTTTTGTTTGATGCTAATAATCTTTGCATATAAGCATCAGAAAAGTTCAGGGCTTTTTATATAAAATTGTAATGAAAATACATGTGTCCAATTTTCTCGACAATATTATTGAATTGTTTAAACAAAAACTATTAAATAATAACCTGATCCTCCTCTATCCTCCCAAAAAATTTAAAGAATTGTATAAATATATTCAAGTTTATACAAAATTTTATGGAAGAAAATATGATAGTGACGATGAGTTATCAGCTTCAAATTTCTGGAGTTTGCTAAGTTATTTAAAGAGTCACTTATTCTTCAATAATTAAATCAGAAATCTTAAATAACTGAATAATTCTATTTCACTTCATTCTTCGCTTTTTATAGGATACGTTATATAAACCAATATGTTGTAGTGTTGTCACTTCCATTAGAATTCTGAGTAACCCTGATTATCCTACCTAAAATACTCTTATCTTAATAAAATGTTAATGATTAGTTATGTACAATAAATAAAAGTTAATGGACATACATTTTTGAACATGGGTATAGTTCGACTTTCAGAATGGTTAAGCAGGCTAGATGATAATATCGATTCATCCACATTCATACTAATCGATTCATTTGATTCTGATGGTGAGGACAATAATTCTTTACAATATACACCAACAATATTTGGTATAATCTCTTCTTCAACAATCATGGATGGTTTTCCTACATTTTTTATTTCTTTGGAGAAATTCTGCACCTGAAAAACAATAATTATTTTTAAAATAAGATATAAAATAAATATTCAATTAAATATATATGAAAAATAAATTCAGTATTACTTACCCTCGCTGACGATGGGGAGCAGTTAACTGTGTTGGTTTCAGCAGCTTCGTCAAATACTGATCCATTAACTTCTACATTTTCAGAACCTAGATACAACCATAATTTGAAATTAAAGAATGTAAACTACAACCAATTTAATGTGATACATTCATATTGTAGTTGTTCTTATAATAACTTAAACATGATAGATAATCTTATCAACGATGAAATATTTAACCCTTTGCACTCGGCTGTATCCTGTGAGGGGAAATGAAAGTTTATTAGCGATTATGGAGAATGAACTTATTCCACCGCAATTTTTTAATAAACGCGTGTTTTTCTGTAGTTTTCTATTAAAATGGCACAGAAAACTTTATAAAAAAATTTATCAAGATAAAAAAAAACGTAAGTTATAATATTTTATTTCGCGTATATGCATATATATAATCTCTTTAGAAGGTGAAATAAAAAATTCCATTGCTCGAAAAAAAATTACTGAATTTAACGTAGAATCTGACGTCATCTACCATAGTGTCATTTATTTTTTAATTTTCATACATTATTCCTGAAAATAGTTATATTTATAGCACAGATAAGGAAGTATATTTAGTAGTGATGCTATAAAACAAAGAAAAAAGAAAATCTGATGAAAAATAATGGAGTTACAGAATCATGATAAAAAAACACGAGTTTGGGACCACTGTGCGTCGAGTTGCTGGTAGGTAACGTCCGAAACGGTGCTGAGTACAAAGGGTTAAAACAATAAAAATTGAAAAACACTGTAAATGATTTACTCACATTTGTCAGCGTGGGTTAGTTTTGCACGATGACCCAATCTTCTAGTAACATCTGAAGGCTTCATAGAAAAGTAAATAATATAAAATCAAAGAATTAGAAATATATTTTATCAGTAGCAGTAACTAAAAACAATTTAATATAAAGTTCTTACTTTATCATTTTCATGAAGTGATTTTACTTTTAGACATCCTAATTATGGTCTTATCCCTAATAGTTTTGAAAATATTTAAAACTATCTCAAATTAAATCTTACAATATAAAAACTATGGAACAAATTATGGTATTGCAACTAAGAAGCTATTCCTCAAAAGAAATTTATTTCGAAATTTCGCAGCTTTTCATAGGCCAAAGCCAACCTTTGTTCTGTTTTTAAAGTAAATAATAATGAAAATCTCTAAAACTATCAAAATAAATTAAAAAAAAAAAAAAATTGTGATGAAAATTAGGGAAGAACAAAAGTTATGTGTTGGAAAGGAGACCAGGATTTAAAAAAAGTTTGAAACCTATACATTAAAACAATCCATAATTCTCAAAATAATTTCTATTCAACATTACTATCGAGTTGTTTTAAAGATCCAAATTCAAATTTAAAAAATATAAAATTTAAAATAAGACATGACATGGCAAATCAGAGAGCGAAAGGGGTGAGGTGGCCGAGCTGGCTAATGTGGTTGAATACACGTGTTTAATGGTAACTTGATAAACTGAGGATTACGAGTTCAAGTGCTGTGGGCTTTTTTAACTCTGGCATTAATCCCCTGCTCTCTCCCCTGGCCCTGGAAAAACCCTATACAGTTGAAAATTCAAGGTACTAGGGGAAAAAAAAATTGCCTCACAGACCATATCAAAAAGGTATTGAATCTATTAAATAAAATAAGTACTTTGTAATACAACACAGGATAACTATTGAAGTAAATCTCATATACTGTTGTACAATAAACTTGACTGTATTTCAGAGACACAATCCCTCAAGACGCTCCAAACACAGCCCTCTCGTACATGCCTCATTTTACTCAAATCAGTCTAACATTTGAGTTTACTGGCTTTACTCCTCATTATCATGATATGTAATGGAAGGTTAGGGGATAATATATAATAAAAATAAATAAACTGTCATATATCTGCTGAGGTGTCAACTTTTTTATTAATGTTTTGATAATATAAAATGAGATTATCTAAAATTTTTATTTTATTTATTATCATTATGACCATCATCATTAATAGTATTTGTGAATTATTAATAGTTTTAGAATTATGTGAAATAATTTCGATAATAATTGAAAACAAATTAGAGATTTTCAAATATGTATGAAGATTCTTGGAATAATAACAGTTTTTATACAACTTTTTATAGTAACAGGATTAAAATTCAAAAATTTGGCTTCAGTAAGCTGACTTTTTATGTATAAAAATGTGCATATATATATATATATATATATATATATATATATATATATTATTCGCTAGGACTTGTGTGTTTTTGTTATTAAAATATGTACCTTAATCAACTTTTTGTTAACCTCAATATTTTCTTCCATGATCGGAGAAAGATCTTGAATATAAATGAAGTCTGAAAAACAATATAATAAAATAAAGAAAAACATTAATGAAAAACATATTAAAAATTTATTCTCATAAACTTTTTGGTTTATTACAATGTTGTTTTACCTTTAAAATTGTACCTATGATAATTAGTTTCAGGTAGCTGCTGGTGAACATCCTTCGGATTCTTTATTCCATTCACTTTTTGGGTTTCAAATGATTGAACTATAAAGAAAAAAAGAAAACAATTCTTTTTGCCGTAAACTGACAATTACGAACACTAAGAAGAACCAATTTTTATATTGAAAGATATTTAGTAAAGAAAATATAGGACATATATATACATACGATAAACAAAGAGCAATATGGAGTAATAAATCTAATTTTATCTGTGCCCTGGAGGTAAACACACCATGTCCATTTTTTCATTGAATAATTTAATAATGAAGAAACAAGTTTTAATAGCTCAAAGTTATGGAAAATTGGCTCTCCAAACAAATATAAAAATGCAAAATACTGTCCTTTACCTTCGGATCACAGATTTGGTAACCAAATAATAAATTTTAATAGTGCAAAGTTATGGAACATTGGCTCCCTTGAACAAATACTTTTCTATTTTCTCAGCTTGCTGGCTAGCATCTTCTCACTTGGCGGCTAGTCACCTTCCCTCTTGGCGACCCGTCACATTCTCTCTTGACAGCTTGTCATATTCTGTGTTACCTGAGGCTTGCTTCCCCCACCATCAGCACGCTCTTCCTCCCCGTAGTTCGTGCTGTGACCACTTTCGCGCCACTATTAAAATGCCATGTAACGTTGACATTACAGTATGAATGAGTAGAGAAGAAAAAAGAGTGGAGGACAGGCGGGACTGCCTATCTCTCTTCCTCTAGCCACCCTCAAACTTATCTTAGATAGAGTCTAATAGCAACTAGAATTTGGTTTCTCTGGTTCAGAACAGTACAAGGTTGAAAAGACAATATACAAACAACAAAATTAAAATTGATTCATATTTGAAAACCATAAATGAATTTGTTTAAAGATTTACTCACTTTCAGGGTCTGAGCTATTCAACAAGTTGCTAATCCTTTTCTCAAATGCCTTAGTATCTTTGTGAAGAGTAGTCAATGTGTTGTAAAGTCCTTTGTTATCATCCTAGGCACATAGATCAATCAATGGCCACATGAATTAATGTATATTATAACGTTTAACATTGAGATGCCACGTTAAGATAAAAACAACAATAAATAATTAATGTAAAAATAAGATAGTAAAACATTAAATAAGAATAAGTAGATTAGGAAGTAAAGGGAGCAGGCAGCAAAAAAAAAAAAATGTTATCAATAAAATTATCTCTACAGTTCGACCTACGCTGGGAAATCAATAACGCAATCCATGATCTTTGTCACTATCCTCTCTTTACTATAATAAATAATACAATTTCAACTGACTGGTACAGGAAAGTAACTATTATAGATTAATAAAATTATACTATTTAAATACATTTCAGTGAAGCATTGTTTATAAAAAGACATAATTGATAAATTAACCACGAAATACTAGTAGCCCTGGAGCTCAAAAATCGACCTCATCGCAGGCGAAGGTTTTTGATTGTAGATTACAAAAGTGTATATTATTCTGAGTAAAAAGAACCTTGTCTGCTATTCCATAGCCTCTGCTTTAAAATTGGGTCTGTAATTTGAGGATCGAAAGGGTAAATCCATTGCGAAAAATGTGAGAAAAGTTTTTATTTTTTTAACTTGTATATATGAGTTTAGACATGTGAAAAATCACCAAGGTAAAACTTTTTACAGCCAAAACAGTCAGATTTTTTCGATATTTTTTGTGTTTTCACCCATAACTCCTAAACGATGTATCAAAGCGAAAAATGTACTCGTTAATAAATTAAAGAAATATGTTTTATGTAAAATTGTGCGTCAAAGGAGTACATAAACTTAATAATTTAGTTAAGAGGTAGGATATAAATAACACCACAGTCAACAGATGCTAATTTTTACCAAAACTGTCAAAAACTGACACAAATTACTTTACTATAAATAGCCCTGCAACTTAGAAATGTGTTCCTTAAGAAGAATCAAGAAACCCAAAGAATCAAAGTTGTAGAGCATCAAATTTTGCATCCAGTTAGTTCCAACTAATTTAATGTAAGTCACTTCTTCTGGAAAAAATTGGTAATCTCCCGATGGTTAGAAATTCGCAATGAAGGTAAACATGCTTTTCAATATTTCAACTGTAGGGGTGTCTATTCTACTAAACTATTTCTATATAGTACTATACTATTTCTATTCGTATAAGCCTCTTATCCTCCTCTTTAATAAACGATGTATCGAATGATGTTATTCATAAAGGAATAACTAATCCCGATTTGATATATACAATTGGTCTACAATAAAAATGTCAGTACTCAGTGGACACAAAATTTGATGCTGTACAACTTTGACTCTTTTGGTTTTTCCTCTTAGGGAACTAATTTCCAAGTTACAGCGCCAATTATAGTAATTTGTCTATTTTTGACAAATTTGGTAAAAATCAGCATTGGTTGACTGTAGTTTTATGCCTTACCACGTAACCAAATTATAAAGCTTATGTACTCGTTTGACACACAATGTAACGTTCTTTAATTTACTTTAATAAACTTACTTTAATTTAATTTAATGTTCTTCAAAAAAATATATCGAAAAAATCTGACTCTTTGGCTGTAAAAAGTTTACAGTTGGTGGCCCGCATTAATATTTTTGTTTTTTACATGTCTACTAAACCCATATACACAAGTTAAAATAATAAAAACTTTTCTCACATTTTTCGTAATATATTTTCTGTTTCGATCCTCAAATTACTGGCCTAATATTCTTTAAATTAGTCGCCATTTTTAAAGCAGCGGCTCTGGAATAGCAGAAAAGTTTCTTTTTACTCAGAAAAACATACACTTCCGTAATTTACAATCAAACCTTCGCCTGCAATGAGTTCCATTTTTGGGCTAGTGAATCAAAGTGTGAAGGTCTGAATAAAATTAATAATTAATTTTAATTTCAAGATAATTTGAGAGGGTTGGAGAAAAGGTAGAGATTTTAAAAAATCAACTTTTCCCTCTTAAACAGCTAGAAGTAGAATTAAATGAGGGCATCGACAAGCACATCAGATAATCAAAATTAAAAGTGAAAAAAATAGGTGCCAAAACAAAATAAGCCAAGAGATATGAAGTAGGAAAATTTCTCCCTTTCTTTTCTTTTTCATGAATCAGCATGACATAATGTTATTAATTATTTTATATTTTATCAAACAATGAAAGAAATAGTGCTTTATAACACTATAACTAAGCCATTTATGTGTACTGAGTGGTGTGGTAGAGGCCTGTAGGCACCTACGCCAGAACCGCTTTTCTGTCACTCAAGTGCATTTTTTATGGAACTGCTTCAAATATTTAAAAAAGTAATCAGTGTTTTAGAAAGAGAAATATATTCTCCAGATGTTTTATTTCAGCACGTTTTGCATTATTGTTGGCCGTTTAATTACAAAAGACGCTTAATTTTCAACTTGAAAATATTTTTGTTTAAAGAATTGACTTTCCTGGTGTTTTTTATTGCCTAAGCCAATTATTTTTTAATATTTTTTCATGTTTTATTATTCTCTGACTATCCAGCTTATTATTAACATTTTTGGCCCATTATATTGATCATATTAACAAACAAATATTAATGCAATAATTTAATTGTACAAAAAATTTAAATTTTTTTTTAAATTTATTATTATTTTTTAAATTTTACTTCCTTTATTCTATACGGAGGTCAATTAAGAAGGCCTCTATTGTAAAAATGATATAATAATAATAATAAAACTTAATTCAATAAATACTTTGCTGAATATCTTAAATTTTTTATTTAATGTTTGTAATTTAAAACTTTGTATATTTACTGATTCTTAAAGGTAATTTAAATTGTATATACTTCCACGGAAATGAGTCATATTAATATTAATCCTTGTTTTATAAACTAAAATAATATATATCTAATCTGAAGAACATACAATGAATAGTTGATGGGTTGTTTAGTAAAACTTGTATATCACTAAAAACAATATTAATTTTTATTTCCTTTATTTTTTTAGGAATTTGGACCATAAGGACGAAGTTTTAAGTTCTTCTAACCGGACCCAAAAATTAAGCTTATAGCTTAAGCGAACGAGAAAGGAAGTACTGAAATCTCGGAAAAGAAAACAAGAATCAGTATTCATTATATGACTAAACGAACATATAGTAGACAGATGAACAGAATATTTCAAAATGCTTCACGTTTAGCCATATAATGGATACTGATCCATGTTTTCTTTTCCGAGATTTAGGCACTTCCTTTCTCATTCACTTAAATGTATTTTTCCAATTTTCTGGTTCAATTTCACGTTTTCCCTCATTTTGAAGCCAAATACTAACAATCAGTTCTGGCTACCTATAAGGACTTATAGCTTCACGCTTTCCAACTTTCTTTGTGCAGAGAGAATAATGCATTCAATATTAAAATTTCCTATTTTTTTATGATATGGTCCAACTTTTTAACAAAATAAAGGAAATTAAAATTAATTTTTTTTATTAGTGATATATGAGTTTTACTAAACAACCCATCAACTATTCATTATAGTTGATACCACACAGGAAAATGCCTCACTACTGAAGCCTTTAGGATTAGTCCAACTCTTAGTCTCTGCGTCAATTCAGGCATACCACCTCTCTTATTCAGAAGACAAAAATTAGCGATAAATTACATAACAAAGTTGTACCCACAAACCACACCCTTCCTACAAATACATTTTTGAATCTAAATTTTTTACAAAATTCAAACAAAAGAATAATGCAACACTGCCGTTAGCAGAAAGGATGATGTTTGCAATTTGTAAGTTGAAACAGATCAACTTCAACATAATTCAAAATGACAAACCCCCTTGGACTTTTATACAGCCTAAATTAAATCTACTGTTCTCAAATTTAAAAAAGGAAATCCAGGAACCTGCAAAATATAAGGAACTATTCCATAAAACAATTAGCTCTCTACCAGAACCCTTACTAATATTCAACAATGGTTCTAAATCGGACACATCAACAGCATCCGCCTTCATCACACCTGATGCTACCTATAAAAGTAAACTATATCCACTTTGTTCCAAATATACCGCAGAGATTAATGTTATCATGATGGCTCTACGACATATGATAAATTGCCAGTTGTAAATGTAGTTGTGGTATCAGATTCTTTGAGTGCCCTTGAAGCCATGAAAATGTATTCAGACCATTAGTACATTAGTACATGTACCATTAGTACATGTAACATTGGAGCATTAGTACATTTATTATGGTCCACTGGTCATGTAGGCATTGGTGGGAATGAAATGGCTGACAGAGCAGCAAAAGAAGCTCTTACCCGGGAAGAAGGATTGGCAGACACTATGGGACAATAGCCCTCCAAATAAACATTGGCTTTTTTTAAATAAATAGTTACATGAAACACAACATGCAATTTATAGGGATGGGGGAGGAGAGAGTGCACGGTAGGTGGCTCTGGCCCACAGACTATTGTACGTTTAGATGTACATATGTAACAATACCTTCCTGGTAACATAATGAAAAATAGATAAAAGATGATTCCTATTATTGGACTGAACATTTCAGATAGGAATGTCGATATAGGAGGATCATCCTCAAGTGACCTCTGACTTAGATCCCAAATTTGAAAAAAAGGTTAAGTTTTTGAATTTGGACAATTACAATGGTTCATTATTGAAAATAATAAAAAAACATAAACGCATGATCACAAAACTGGTTCTCTCTGAAAGTAACACAATAAATCATTCAAGGGACCTATGGTTATTTGATTATAACCTGAGAAATATTAAAAATAATAATTAAATATGTGACAGTAGACCATATTGATAATCAAGGACGAGATCTTGATTAAAATTAATAATTGCATTTCACTAATTAAAAAATGAAACTATTAAACAAAAAACTTTTATTTTACCATTAAATGTCTTGTATCTATAGTGAGATCGTGTATTTCAGTTTTTAAATTGGAATTTATCGACATTGACTTCCTTATTTCCTCTTTCAATCTAATAATTTCCTTGGATAATTCACTATTTGTGCTTTTCAATAACCTGTTTCCTGAAAAAAAGAAAACAATAAAATAAAGATATTATATGATACACAATAATTCCTTAATCTTATCTAAACATTTACAAAATAAAAAGTCCTGATTGTATAATATTATGATGTATTTATTAGTTACATAAACATATCCAACATGTTTATTTAATAGTTACATAAACAAATACAACACGTTCATTTATTAATTAAATAAAAATCTCCAACAAATTGAGCCTTTTTATGAACCTCTGATTAAGGCAGTAACTAAAATTTTGAATTTAATATGTATATTACTGGAGTACATGTACATAACATATGATGGAGAACCCTTTTCTTGCATGATAAAATAAATTATTTTAAATATTTTTGAAGAAAACAGTTTAGCTTGTTTACAATTATGTATTTTTAGTTCACCTGAAATCCTACAAGAGGGATTTATGGTCAGTATGTTAGTGTGCAAAAAAATTAAAAATGAAAAAGGGGATTTTGCCTCATGCCATGAAAATAAAAAATAAGGCAGGGGTTATCTATGAGACTGCCTAACTGCTGGTAGCTTTCATACACGACTCTTTGCTGTTTCTCTGCCTCTTCAGAAGTGCTCTACCTCCAGAGCATATTTGGAGACCCAGATGGGTCAATCAAAGTGCATAGCAAAATAGATTTTGAATCGCTGCTGGTATTTGGCCACTATCAGTGATGAGGATATATGAAATAAGGCCAGGGTACCCAACCATGTAAGATTGGGTGAAACAAGAGAACAAGAATAGAAGGAATTCTCTAATTGACTAAGAAGGTATACTACTTGATCCAAAGCCAATTAAATAAAGCATGTTTCAAAAATCTACACTGAGCTCATTGATTGTGATTTATTACTTCTCCTGCAAATATCAGAAGAAAAAAACAGAGGTGCTCTATGGCTCAGACAGGAACCAGGAGAAAAGTAATTACCAATAACTATCTTCCCTTGAAAGTTCACCCTGATTATAGAAATGACACAAATCTCCCATATCTGTTATAGCCAATATGTAAAGATTCAATTTAAAAAATGAAAGAACGATAATGTTTTAATTAAAAATAACAAATTTAATATAAAGAATAGTTTAAAAACAAAAATCTACTGAATGTCAACATTTCTATCATCTTAAAATTCAAATAACAAAAAATGCCACTTCCTAAAAAAATTATATATAATATAATTTAATATATAACAAATTTAATATAAAGAATAGTTTAAAAACAAAAATCTACTGAGTGTCAACATTTCTATCATCTTAAAATTCAAATAACAAAAAATGCCACTTCCTAAAAAAATTATATATAATATAAAAAAAAATTACAAAATCAAGCAACTATCAAAGAGAAGGTTGAAGAATCATTAACCAAATAATATCATCAAGACAAAATTCAAAAGCAATAGATAAACCTCTTTTAATGATTTCGCAAGTATAGATAAATATCTGACACACGAAAAAAATAAGTGATAGAAAAAAGGACTTTCAACTAAAAACATGTAAACTATTATATATATATATATATATATATATATATATATATATATATATAATACTATGCTGGTGTTTTGGGTTCAGGGATTGCATTGGAAGTACTGTTTCAGGTCCAACAGGTGTCCAAGAATATATGATCAAGATTGCTCTCTACCACTAGATTTCTCTACATTAAAGGTTACTCACTGTACAGAAAAATAAAATTATAAAACTTATTATATAAAACTATAATATTTACGAGTTCTCTGAACACTAGTCTTCTTCATAAACCTCAAATATTTCTTGTACAGATTATTATACACTATAATCCGATGTTCTCTCCTGTTATTCATTTCTGAAGTTTGCAAATCAACAAGAGAACGATCTGAAAACCATTAATTAAAATCGGTACTAACAAAATTATAATTTAATAAAAAAGGCAACTTTTTTTAATGAAACAAGCTAAATTAACAGTACCTGAGTAGACAAATTTAGATTATCTTGGTAAAAAAAAACAACAATATTTATACTAATTTTTATCTTTTATTTAAAAATATACACATAAAATAAATGTCAATTTATAATGATAAATACTACTCCGGTCTTGACCGTTTATTTCAGGTTCAAACTTGAGAGGTGGGCTCCGCCAAAGCAGTAAATGCAAAGAAGAAGAGAAACAACTTACAAGAAGAATGAGATAAGAAATTGGCTGACGACACTAGCGGATCCAGGATTTAATTTTGAGGGGGGCTTCAGCCCGAAGGATTTTTTTTTTTTTCATATATATAACAACAATTAATCTGGGAAAAAAAAAGAAACAAACTAACTACCCATAAGACATGGTTTCTTAGTGATTTTTGAAGTCTTATTAAATGTAATTAAACGAACAATAATAGTTTAAGGGATAATTTTTAATATTTTTTTTCTATAAAACATGGTTATATTTTACCATTTTGGGGGAGGGCTTCATCCCGAAAGCCTCCCCTCCCCCGTAGATCCGCCTGTGCCCATGATTGATGTATTATTAAGTGATTTTTATTGTAAGATAGGTTTTATCCTTGTCAATGCGGCTTGACAGGGCTTAAATGGCAAATTTTCAAAATTTCTTCTTCTACAATAACTTAGGTTTTGTTCATTTGAAATAATGAACCATTTCATGTGGTTATAATAATAAAAAGGCTTAGTAAACCCGAAGGTTCGATGCCGACACCACCAATCGCTTATTGCACACCTCCCTCCATCGTTCGCCGTCCAAACCCAGTCCCTTCAGATCGGCTTTAATGCAATCTTCCCACCTTCGCTTCGGTCTACCCCTCGGACGCTTACCATTCGGCACAGCAAATATTAGCCTTTTAGGAATTCTCTCGTTACTAAGTTCAACAACTTTACAAGCCCATTTGATTCGCCGCGATGAAATTATCTCAATTATATTACTCGGATACAGTTCACGCAATTCGGCGTTGTGTAACCGTCTGAACTCTCCAGTTAACTCATCCTTCTTCGGTCCGAATATTCTACGCAATACTTTATTTTCAAAAACCTTAAGACGCTGCTCATCCCTTAATATAAGCGGCCAAGTTTCGCACCCATAAAGAACTGTAGCCAAGATAATTGTTTTATAGATTCTAATTTTTAAGTTTCGGGACAAGAGGCGCGAGCTAAGTAGTTTTGTAACACAGAAAAATAACAAGCATTTCCCGCCATCAGTCTAACGTTAATTTCTTCTTCAATTTCGTTTTTTCTAGTTATCGTAGAACCTTGATACCTAAACTTATCTACCTGTTCAAACATATTACCATCTATATCGATATCACCAGTAGTATCGCCATTTTTGCAGCTAACCATATATTTTGTTTTATCCACGTTTATTTCGAGACCTAGTTCTTTACCGGCTTTCATTAACGTTGTCGTATTTAGTTTTATAGTTTCAAGGTCTTCGCTTAACAGTACCAGATCATCCGCATAGCCCAGCACGGATGTTGTCCCGCCCAGATCCAACCCTTTCTCGGTACGCATTACCTCCCTAATGGCATGTTCTAATGCCAAATTGAACAGGACAGGCGAAAGGGAAACCCCTTTTAAACCCGAACGAACCTCAAATTTTTTGGACAGATTATTACCGATTCTAACTTTATTGAGTGTCTCCGTCAAGCACATCCTGACTAGATTTACTAATTTTTTAGGAATCCCCTGCTCGATTAGAATATTATACAGTTTCTGGCGGTCAATAGAATCGTAAGCCTTTTTAAAATCTATATACAGCTGGTGAACAATACCGTTGTACTCCAATTTTTTCTCTAATATTTGCCGTAAAGAAAATATTTGATCAATAGTCGAACGATTCCGTCTAAATCCGCATTGGTAGTCTCCGATAATTTCCTCGGCGTATTCCGTGATTCGACTGGTTAAGATTAAAGTAAATATTTTATAACATACCGGAAGGAGTGAAATTCCTCGATAGTTATTACAATCCGTCCTCGGACCCTTTTTGTGAATCGGAATAAGAATAGATTCTTTCCATTCTTCAGGTAATTTCTCATTCACCCAGATCTTTTTAACCAACCGATGTATTTTAGAAACTCCAGCTTCCCCGCATGCCTTAATTAGTTCAGTGGGAATATTGTCGGTTCCCGCTGCTTTATAAGATTTTAATTTTCCGATAGCTAATTCAACTTCCTCTTTACTCGGTCCTTCTATCAACGGTTCAGCACTCTGGTACTCAGAAGGAGGACACAGATCATAATTTCCCGTATTTAAAATATTGTCAAAGTGGTCCTTAAATTTATTCAATATGTCAACCGGATCGGTCAGAATATTGTTATTATCATCCCTAATTCCAGATGTTACGGACCCTACACATTTACGTGATCTGTTTATACCTTTGTACATGTCTCTTACGTTATTTTCGATTCTATTAGTTTCTATTTCAATTATTTTATTTTTAAGATACTCCCTTTTTTTATTTTTGAGCAATTTTGTCGTTTCGTTCTTTGAGGTTCGGAAGTATTCCAGATTGTCTTCGCTAGGATTATTTAGAGCTTTTAATTTAGCGGCTTTTCGTTTTTCGCACATGTTTAAGCAATCTTCATCAAACCACGGTTTGTTATTCTTATTTTCCTTTTTTCCTAGACACGAGTTACCGACCGCTTTAATATTATCCCTGATCTCTACCCATAACTTGTCAATATCCTCGTGGTCCTCTTCAGGAAGCTCTAAAGCTTCAAACATATTTTTAACATCTAGCTCGATTTGGGTTCTAATTGATGGATTTTTTAATTTGTCCAAATTAAAATTCTCAAAATCGAAACGATTTATTTTCTCTTTTTTATATTAAGTTTTTGTCGAAGTTTCGCGATTACTAATCCATGATCCGACCCACATTCTGCTCCGTGATAAGACCGTACATTAATTATACTGCTTTGCCAGCTATGTTGTATCAAGACAAGGTCGATTTGATTTCGTGTTTGCGAATCCGGTGATGTCCAAGTATATTTATGTACATACTTATGTTTAAACGTCGTACTTTTAATTATCAGGTTTTTCGAGATGGCAAAGTTTATCAGACGGATCCCATTATCATTACTAAATTCGTGCAAGCTTTCTTTTCCAATCGTCGGAATATAAACTTCTTCCCTTCCTACCTTTGCGTTCGCGTCACCTATAATTATTTTCATGTAGTTTTGCGGTAGTTTATCATAAACCCATTCGAGTTTATCGTAAAATTCACTTTTGACTTCATCGTCACTGTCTTCGGTCGGACAATATCTTTATTAATGCGATTTTAAACCAACGTCCCAGAAATTTAGCTACCGAAATTCTATCACTAAAGAATTTTACGTCCCTCAAAGCGGATAGTAATCTACTTCTAATTAGAAACCCGGTACCCAAACAATGATTCCCGCTTCCTCCGTACCAAATAGTGTACTTTCCTTCCCTCATCGAGCCCTTCCCTGGCCAGCGAACCTCTTGCAGAGCCACGACATCCAAATTGTACCCATTCACCTCATTCGCGGCCGATTTTAGCCCCCCTGCTGTGTTTAAACTCCTTACTTTCCACGTACCAATATTTAAATCCCTATATTTCAACTTGCGCCATGAATCCCCTAAAGCAGTCCCCACCCGGAGACCCGAACGGGGGACTAGTTTACTTCCGGATAATGAGCGTTTTACCTTAGGAAGATCCATGACTATTTGTGGTGTTTGGTGAAAAGATATGTGAGTAGGGCGTTCAATCCTACGTCACACCCTCCAGTAAGTCTGGTGGGCCCCTACCTCCAGCAAGCCTGGAGGTCCCCTCCCTCCAGCAAGTCTGGAGGGCCCCTCCCTCCAGCAAGTCTGGAGGGCCCCTCTCATTGTTGGTCAGCGAGTCCATCGGACTTAGCCGGGAGGAACTTCCAAGGAATTTCCACCGACCATCCCCACATCCGCCACCCGTGGGACGCTCCCCATACGCGGTAATGAGTCCGCGCGAGGATTTCATATGGTTACTAGTAATAAAAAAATGTAAAATATAAATTATGAACGAATTTGATGATTAACTGAAGGAGAAATAAGGGGTAAGGTGGGACCGATAACAACCGGAAATACCCGAGCGCATTCGGGTAGGCTGCTAGATTAAAATAATCCCCAAACGTTCCTAACCGTTCCCCAGCTGGAGCGGTTCCTCTTTCTGTTTCCCTGCAAGAACGGTTCCTCGTTCCGTTTCCCTGCAAGAACGGTTCCTCATTCCGTTTTACTGCAAGAACGGTTATTCACTCCGTTCCACGAGGAACCGTGCATCCCTAAACACGTGCTATATGAGCAACGTTGGGACTCCAATATACATAAACATCATGTGCGATTTTCATAAATTATTTCAATTTATAGTTAATAACATATGTTATGTTTAACGCAAGATTTAAATTAAATATAAAGTTTCTTTTTCTTTTTACAGTTCTTTCTTCTCTTGTTTCCTTTTTATTTTATTCGTTGATGTAACTGCTGATAGTTTAGAATTAATAAAAATGGAGTCGTTGTACGAGGGAACAATATTTTTTCATTGTTGAAAATATTTTTAAAATAATGAAAGTCTTGCGTACATAGTTCAAAAATTTCTTACAAAATAAGGTCGGAACTTTGATTTAACTTCATTAACTGTGAATAGAGTAATTGAGAAAGCCAAGCACACTGGATCAATTGGTGATGTTAAATACTCAGTGAAGTTTACCAATATTTTAAAATAATGAAAGTTTAGCGGCCATTTATCTTGCTTCGATATTGACATTTGTTTTTGGCCGACCAGTGTTTTTTAACATTAATTCAGTCTGCTTGACTTTCTCAACCACTTTCTTCACAGTTGATAAAGTTAAATCACTATTTCGACCATATTTTGTACGACATTTTTTAACTC